ATATACATGTGTATATACGTATGTTGATGGAGAAGGTTCGATGGCTGCTAGAAGCACCCACACGCATGCATATAGATACGCATGTACATATACATATACATATACATATCATTTGCATATACTTTTACCAATACATTTACGTATATTTACACATACACACTTACATTTGTATGTGCCATTTAGAAAGCTACGATGTTCTTCCCTATGCAGATACATGGAGACATGCATTATGTTTGTATGTAGATATACACACGCATTGTGCACCTACATGTTTGAATATGTGCTTGCCGATGGGTATGGTATGCATGCAGAACCGATAGTCCCGGAATCTAGATCCCCAAACGGCCTAATGTCCTAAACCCTATAAGCCTTCAACCCCTAAACCCTTAAAACCCTAAATCCTCGAACGCCCTAAACCCACGCAGATTAAGTTAAAAAACATGCAACTCCCGCGGCATCTCACGTTGTCCAAATCCAGCAGCCATGGCTTTTTTGGTGCTCCAGCTCATGCCCAAACCCAAAGCTTTGGCTTCAAGAAAAGAAGATCTTCGGGTGTTTCGTAGCATGGTTATAAACAGGCTGCAAGGGCATTCCATTATTGATATTCCGGGCCTCAAGCCTATTCGCTGTGGGCTTGGTATAGGGGTTTGCGGTTCAGGGGTTAAGGAACTCGGGTTTAGATCGAAACCGTGATTCGAATCAGCTTGTCGTCGCTGGAGCATCCGACCCGGAGCGTTCCATGGGCAGGAGACCCCATGCACTAATCTGTCGGTAAGGTGCCTGGGTCTCTGAAGTCTTAGGCTAGTTTAGGCCTTTTAAGAACGGTTTTGGGATGGTTTCGGAACCTGGGTCCTTCGGCGGAGGGTTTGGTGTTGTCGGCAGGTTGTTTTTCGAGCGTCAAGTAGTTAAAGCCCAGAGCTACATCTGCATGTATACACACATTTACTTGCATACGACTGTATCTATATCTGCATCCGTGTCTTATCCGTATGATATCTATCTCCACGTGGGTTCTGTGTATGGTTGTACTTTATATAAACATATGTGTGTTTGTGTGTGAGTGTGTGTGTATATTCTGTTGGGTTGTTCTGTCGCACTCTCTTTGTTTCTCTTTACTTCATTGTCTGTGTGTGCATATGTGTATATATACAGGGCTGATTTTCCCCTCCCCCAAAAAAACAGGCCCCCGCTGTTAGGCAGGACTTCTGGGATTGCGTAGATTCGGGTCCCGTCCTGCATGATTGGGTATGCATTTCTGTGAAGAAGTCAGCATTCCGCATTCATATGCTTTAATGGATTGTATGATATTTCCACACCATGCCACGGCTTATACATCTTAGGGATTTAGGCTGATAGACTGTAGGATCTATGGCTTAGGGTTTGGGAATCGCCCTGAGCCGTAGAGAGCTCTCATAGTTTTTTGTAGCGCCATATATGAGAGTACTTACTACATGCGGGTCTGGCGAAAACTGTTTTCTTGTGCAGGCGTCTTCGCCCAAGCCTTGAAGTTTCACCGTGTTGGATCGAGAACCTCTCTTGCGGCGGAGACTAAACCCAGCCATTTGTCGGGCTTTCCAAACCCAAAACTTGATCCTTCATCACCCCCTGAACCTGCTGCGCCCCGAAGCCTTAGACCAAGATCCTAAGGAATTAAACGTGGAGTGAGGAGTGGCCTCAACCAGCCTTCAGTGGCAGCTAGTTGCCTCCGTTCGGCCACGGCGGCACCACTGCCGCTACCCATACCATTTCCACTACAAGCACCACCACCGCCACAGATGATGACCTCAAGGACGCCTGCTACCGCTGCTGTAGCTAGCGCTGCCACTGGCACTGGCACTGCCACTACCACTATCACTACTACTACTACTACTACTACTACTACTACTATTACTACTACTACTACTACTACTACTACTACTACTAGTACTACTACTACTACTACTACTACTACTACTACTACTACTGCGACTGCTACCAGTAGTTGTACCTGCCAGGGCGACGAAAAGGACGACTACGACTGTACTAGTACCACCGCTCCAGCGACGACGGCAGCTACTACTGATACTGCCGCTCTTTTGGTTCACAGTAGACAGATTTGTCGAGAATATCTCCCCGACCCTTACGAACAATAGCGCCTAAACCTCAGACCCCTAAAGGCTAAGACCCTAGCCAAAGCCTGAGCCCTGAACTCTAAATCCTAAACTCCCAAGCTTCAAACCTTGAGACCTAAACTCTTCGACCCTATTCTCAACTTGCAGCCCCAAACCCTACGCACTCGCAGGTCCAGCGGCCCCCCGCACCAAGCAAGTTTTTAGTTCCGCAGGAGAATCAGCCCATGGGATCCTTAGAGTACTTAAAGGCCCATGGGACTTAGTAAGTAAGGTTATAAGTAGGTTACAATTAAGATATCCCCAGTTAGGGGACTTATAACCCCAGTTATAACCTACTTACTAAGTCCCATGATCCTTTAAGTACGAGATTCTGCATCCGTGCCCGAAGGCTCCATGTCCCGTTTACTGCACACTTAGGCCACACAGGGGCGTCTATTTTGGTAATTTCATGCCTGAGTATATACTATATTAGCACCCCGTGAGCCCAACACCCCTTAATTAAGGGATATACTGAATATACCTTAAATTCTAAGGGGCTTCATACCATGATTTAGTTAAGCTATTTTCCTTAATTAAAGGGTATTGGCTCTGGGTACCTTAAAACTGTACAGATCCCTTATAGGTCCCTTATTGGAATGCTATAGATCCCTTTGAGGAACCCTATTCTAGTGATTAAGGCCTCTATACTAACCTTAAGAGCCTTTGAGCCCTTCGGTGGTATTGGGCTCTCTGGGCACATGGAGCCCGAAACCCCATAAATCCCTTAACCCCTAAACCCAAAGACCTAAACCCCTAAATCCCTTAACCCCTTAACCCCCAAACCCTAAACCCCAAAACCCCAAAACCCTTAACCTTGAGCCCTAGAAGCACAAAGCTCCGCAGGTGGAGGTTTCTCCAGAAGGCTGGGAGCCAGGAGACCTCCTCCTCGTCCGTGCCAAGGCTACCGTTTTGCCGTCTGGTAGTAGGCTTTGGGGTTTAGAGTTTAGAGTTAAGGGTTTGGGGTTTAGGATTTGGGGTGCAGGGTTTAGGTGTTAGGGTTTAGGGTTTGGGGTGGTAGTCCATGCCGTTTCGGTCAACTGTAGGCTTCAGGATTTGGGTGTTGGGTTCTCTAAACTACACCCAATAACCCTAAACCGACCAGAGTTAGAGCTGAGGTCATTGGTCTCGCCTTGGCCTTGCTGTATCGTGTTGCTTGCGAGGGTCTCCAGAAACCGGTTTAGGGCTTCGGGCTTGAAGTCCGGGAATTTCGTGCTATGGCTTTCATCAAGGCCAGTAGTAGCTTGAGTCAGACGTTTTTGGGCTTAAGGTTTAAATAGGGTTTGCACTTGAAGGTCAAGGGCTTGAGGGCACAGCCCTTGACGACGTCTGATCGAGACTTAGTCTACAGGGTCTTAGGGTGTAGAACACATCGGCCGTATAGAGCAGTTTGGAGCATAGGTTTGATTGCAGCCGGCGTCCCTAGATAAGGACTGAATCTTAAGCCCTAAACCCCTAAACCCTAAACCCCCTAAACCCCTAAACCCTAAACCATGAGCCGAAAAATCCAGAACTCTAAAAATCCAAGATCCTGAACCTCCAAACCCTGAACCCCCCGGCTGCTAAAGCCTCTAACCCCATGTCCCACAAGACCCTAAACCGTTTAGCCTAAACCCCTAAACACTAACCTCCAACTAAGGCCTCGATACTATCCAACTCACGCTCCAATGCTTATCCGTCACATAGTCCTGATTAGTATCTTCTTGGCGGCTGCCTATAGTCTCCATGGTAGTTTCTTGCTTTGGTTAACCAACATATGTTTTGCATAGGATCCTAACAATAAACTGCTTTAAACCCATAACGTCATAACGACAATCACAATGCGACAAAGGCGGCAGCTGCCACGAAGATACTAATGAGGACCATGTGACGGGAGCTTTATTTGGATAGCACCGAGGCCTTCGTTGGAGGTTGGTGTTTGGGGGTTTAGGCTAAACGGTTTAGGGTTTAAGTAGGGTTGGGGTCCAGCAACTCCGGTATGGTTATTGTATGCTAAGGAACCCAAAGCAATACTGTTGGCCAGTACTCGGGCCTTCATATTATGCTGTGCGCAACCGTTGTTTGCAGACAAAGCAAGCTAATGTAAGATATGATTTCTTGAGCATTAGCATAACAGGCCCGTTTAGGGTTTAGGGTTGAGGGTTCGGGTGCTAACCTTGTGCCTTTGGAAGAGGGTAGAAGCAAGCAGTTTTGGGTTGGGGCTGTGGGGTTCGGCGTAGAGCTCGGGGATGTGAGCAGCTTCGACAATCACAACTTCTGAGAATTGGGGCTTTGCAATACGGTTTTCTGTCCACTGTTGATTTGTGGCGTGATTATATGGGGACAGACCATGCACTACGGCCGTGTTGTTGTACTGTCGGCAAAGGCTCATGGAACCACAGCTGAACCAATTCTATTGTTTCTATTGCAGAGTATGCATGATGTATAATAAGACCAGATACCAGATTAACACTGAACTGTTTTATATGGGTCGTTGTCAAAATTTGAGTCCCAAGGCACCTTTTATTTAGGTTACCCAAAAAAGGGACCCTGATTTCGACAACCACCCATATGAATATTGAAGTTACTTAAACTTCTTGTGTCTCGCTGTCGCCTCCATCGGCTCAGGCGAAGCGCCAGCAAGAGTAGTGGTATACCTAGTGGCTTTGGGGTTTAAGGTTTATGGTTCAGGGGTTACTAGCATCGTGTTGCTAACAGGTCCCGGTACCACTATGCTACTGCGAAAGAGCGCTCCGGTTCGATCTCCGCGTTGTTGAGTTTAAAAATTTCAGGACTTTCGCCAGGAGTTGTGGCACGTAGCCGCCCCGGTTCGCGAATTCGGAGTCAGTGTCTTAGGCCTAGGTTTCGGTGGGCATGCAAGCAAGACGCAACAGCGTGATGCAGCGACGAAACAGCTCCCTGGCTTCCCTCGAAGCATTGCTGGATTTCGCTAATTGACTTGACTTTCCAGGGGTTTTCATGTTTGTAGGCTCCCGACACATTCCAGATTGGGGTTTACAATAAGAGCCCACAGAAGTTCGGTTTTGGTAGGTTAAGGAAGGATTTGGAGTTTCGGGTTTATCTGGTTTCATGGCTGAGGACCTAGACAGTAGAACGCTGAGCTTGGCATGCTACTAGTAGGTGTTTATCGGCAACCCTTACTCGTGCAAGCCATCGGCTCTTGAGGAAGCCACTTTGCGATGCATTGCCTCAGACTTTGCAAGAGATTCCTCGAATGCTTCAGCTAAAAAAAACAACCTTATTAGTGATTATGATAATAATGACAATCATGCTAATCAGTATCTATACTATTTCGGGGTGCTGAATAAGTATGTATACTATTTTGGGGCTTCATAAGTACCTATACTATTTGGGGGGCTCCGGTTCTAATTGTAGTGTAATATTCACCCCACAACCCGATCCTGGCTGATAAGGCCGGTATAGTCGCCTTTAAACTTGTCCCCTTGAGCCCCAAACGTTACCTAGAGGCCCCATAGTAGTTCCTTTTGGGGGCTCATATTTAGAATCCTATAAGGTAGTCCCAGAAAGGAACTACTATGGAGCCTTTGGGTAAGTCCTCAGTGTTGAGAGTTTAGCGCTGAGTTGGTACTGTTATATGGGGAAGACTTCCCCAAATCATAGTAGTAATTCCTACACAGAAGCCCCACATTCTACGATGCAGTTACTCTGGACCCTTTGGGTAAGCCTTCTAAACCCTAAAACCCTGCCCTAACCCTGTAGCCTAAGCCTTGAGGCTACATGCACGTCGGTGCCAAAGAAAGATTGCGCGAAGAAGCGGATCAGAACCATAAGGCGGATCAGCCAGGCCGGAATTGTTTACTCTATCCTTTGAAGGGTTCCTTTTAAAGGGGTCTGTAGGGATGAATATAAGGGGTATAATGGGGTTTAGTATAGGGGCCGAAATAATTACCTGTTATACTATTTTGGGGGTTGCATATTATATTAGTCCTATAAGGGGCCCCACAACCCTATTCTAACTAGTAAGATCCCAGTATTAGGGTTTTTGCGTGGGACATGCGGGAGATCTTAACATAGGTTTTCGCTCAGTTGCTTGTCAAGTGATGTTCAAGAAGCAGTCCCGTTTATAGGGCTTTTGGAGATTTTGCTAGGGCACAGGTGTTTTGGGTGTTGCTGTTCGAGCTTGCTGCTTTAGCATCCCGGCAGTAGGCTTGTTGGATTTAGTGTTTGCGGCTGTCTGGCTGCCTTGTCAAGCTTGATAAGCGTGTAGTAAGGTTCAGACGGATCACAGAACTGCCCCAAAGCCTGAATCCAGCATATATACATATATGCATAATTATACAGACAGATATAGACATTCAGGTAGTGGGCTCTCTTGGACCGTTCTCGGTCGTAACAACGTGGCCGGGCTTCGGAACGATCCTCCACTGTCGACCGATCAATCTGCAACGGTACAGGGGTTTAGGGATTCGGATTTCGGGCTCGAGTTTAGGGAGTAAGATTTAGGGCGTACTGTTTAGGGATTCGGGTTTAGGGATTCTGGCTCAGAAGGGTTTGGAGATTCGGGTTTCGGGTTTGCGGATTAGGGGTAGGGATAAGGGTTTAGGGTTCAGGGTTGAGGGTTTCAGGGTCTGAAGGTCTCAGAGGGGATTCGGGCTTGTGGGTATTCGGTTTCAGGGCTTATAGGGATTAGGGCTTGAGGATTTTCGCGGTTTAGGGGGTCTTCTAGTTCCGGTCTCCGGACGGCTTGTTCTGGGCCTGAGACCCTAAACCCCACAATTCGGGGAGGACTCCAGATGACAGCCCTACACCCCTGAAGCCCACTCAGAATTAATAGTACCTTCATCCTCTGAAACACCGGGCTCTAGAGGCCGATAGCAAAGATGTAGCTCAGTCCTGTATGTGACGTTATCGCGGATCCTTGTTGCGTCATACATTCTAGAAACTGCCGATCCGCATGTCGCGGGTTGTAGTTTAAGCCAGAAGCCCCGAGACCCCAAAGCCGTTCGCCCAAAGCCTGTCAGACGTCGCCGAAGTGCAGCTGCCAAACGTACCAGGCTGCACGGGGGCGTGGAAGGAGGGTTCTTCTTGCTTTTGGTGGCTTAGTGGCCATCATCATGGTTGTTGTTTAGGCAAAGGTTTCATGTACCGATGCGATACGTGTGCATGGGAGTTTGAACTAGAATGCTAAGCCTTAGACTGAGATTTGAAGAAATTGTTGGGTAGTTTTCGGGTAGTTTTCGGCTTAATATTGACGCCTGATTTGAAAAGTAATTGTGCTGGGAAGGTCTCGACGAGCATGTTAGCAGCTTCGGGAGTTGTGGTGCAACTTCCTAGGTTTGGCATTGATAAGGGTTCAGTTTAGGGTTTAGTTGTATGTACTGTGCTCCGTAATATGTCCACTGAAATTACACTGCAGCAGACTTCCCAAAACCCTGCCCAGGCACTTGGGCGTTTATGATCTTTAAGCGACTTCAATCTGGGAGCTTTTGATCACAGGAGCGAGTAACGCCCGGAGCCCTATGGACCATGCTGGCCGCACAGCCGCTTCCCTCGACCATAATGCTCATTTTCAAACGCTGCCATCACTACCGCGACAGCAAGCTGCATCGGATCATGATGTCTTGATGTAAAGACAATCAGAAAATCTCCGCAGCACCCAGCCTCTTTAGTTTAGAGTTTAGGGTACCCTAAACCCTAGGCCCTAAACCCTAAACGCTGAACCCTAAACCCTAATTAAACCCCAGCAAAGCCCGAAGACCTGCACCCCGAGCCCCTGACCCAAAAAAACCTTGAACTCTAAACGCCTAAACCGAAACCCAATCCGCAAACGCGATGTCAAGAGCAATTAGGCTTCAGGGTATAGGGAAGCAAGCAAGCAAACGAGCAAACAAACAATACGAAACGCATACACAAACCCTAAGGGTCCATGTACCCATATAGGGATGCATGGGCCCCAGAGTACCCAAATAGGGACTATATACATTATAAGGCCAATGTATATACTATATGAGTACATGGACCCTTAGGGAAACAAAGCCCTATAAGCCCTACAATCTCAGATCCTGGTCGCCGGACCTCCCGAGTTGCTTGGCCAGAAAGGAAAGGATCGGAGTTTAACATCGGGGGATTCAGGGGGTCTATGGTTTAGGGTGTAAGGACATGGGGGATTCAGGGGGTCGAGGGTTCCGTATAAGGGGATAAACTGGATATGGTTTGGTAATTAGTCTGGTGTATTAAGGACTGCTAGATGGGGCTGCCAGGGGATGCTGTTCAGCCCTCTTTCGTGCCTGGACCCCATAAATCCTACCATAGTAGACCTGGTATGATTTCCTTAAGAAAGTCCCTAAACGCTAGGTGAATTGGGATTAACGTAGAGTATGAAGAGATTGCAGCTTCACGACCCAACCAAGGTGGATCAGCCGCTTTAGGGTTTTGGGGCCGGTGTTTGCTGTTCAAGTGTTCAGGGCTCAAGCGTATTTGGTCTGGCTTTAGGCTTAGCAGGTCTTGCGTTTGGGGTCCGTAAGGTTTGGTTTGAGGTTGGGCTGCGGTCCATGAAGTTTGTTTTGCATGGCGGACGGAGGTTCAGTCTGTGAGGCCGTGGCCTTTCCTAGGACTCGGTGAAATTCGCAACTAATAAGAGCCGAGAAGCCCAAAGCCATGTGCCTGCCCAAACATGACTGAGTCCTTCATGCAAGACTGACTGGTTAAGGATTTACGGCCTCGTCCTGGCCAGCATGTAAACTCAGACGTAATTGAGGGTTTGTGTTTCGCGAAATGTAAAGTAAACCGTGTACACAAAGCGTGCACGAACCCGCAACGGATGGTAACATGGTATCCAACTCCTGGAAACATGCCGTCCTGGCTTGAATGCACCACTAAAAGAGCCAAGGGCTATGGGAATCCTGAAGATATCACATTCTCGTTGTGAATGTAGGAACCTGATTAAGAGAGGGTCCTTGTTAGGGTTCCTTATATGCATCCTACTACTTTGAGGTTATATAGGGAAATAGACTACCGTTGCGTCGTTGTTTCGCTTTTGGTGGGGCTTGCCACAGAACAAATCCCGAAGCCCTACACCTGAACCTTGTCTGATACCCCGAAGGCATCCGAAGCCGGCCTTCCTTTCATCTGAGCCCGAATGTGTACTTAGAGTATCATGGGACTTAGTAACTAGGGTTATACCTAAGGTAACTATACTTATAGCCCCAATTAAGGTACTTATAACCTTACTTACTAAGTCCCATGATCCTCCAAGTAAGACCGTAGTTAACATCAGGATCTTTGAATAAGGCCCCCCTTACTTGTGTTAAGCCCTTCCAGAACGCCTAAGGGACCTTGTAAAGCCTCTTGACAACCTTGGCAACACCCCAAACCCTTAACCCGAAATCCTGAATCCCAAAGCCTAAGCCAAGGCTTCGAATCGGCCAGGGAGTGCAGACGCGCGCCCTGGAACAGCGAATACAGGGTTTACAGACACGAGCAAGAGGAGTCAGGACATAGGGGGAGGGGGGGGAGGGGATTTAGGGTTCAGGGGGCTTGATTTTTGAGTAATTAAGTCCCATCAGGCAAATAGAGTGCAGGGGCCCCTGCTCCAGAGAGTGTTGAATTCGGAGCTGTGGTAATTACTGGGCCGTTCTCCTGCATCTTCCCCCCCCCCCGCCACACCGTAAGCCCTGCAAAATGTGCCACTCTACGGCCCCCACAACTTGCTTAGCAGCTAGACAGGCCTTTGCTACCTTTCAAGCCGGCAGTAGGGAACCTTTTCCCTGAGTCAGGTTTACAAGGACCTGCAGTAGGGTTTAGTTTGTTGGCTTCATGGATGACGACGGAGTTGTCAAGCATTTCACATCTTGTCGGCCGCTTTGGTGATTGGCGATCTTGCGGATGTGCTGTGACTCCGATGTCTTGGTCGACTTGTTTTACATTGCTCATGCTGAAAGCTCATGTTGATTATTCGGGTCAAAACAAGTAGCATCCTCTTTCGGCTGTAGGGAATCTAAGAGTACCCTAGATCCCAAACCCTATACCCTAAACCCCAGACTCTAAACCCTAAACGCGAATCACTATACCCTAAGCCCTAAATCCTATATTTCCGAGGAATCCTAGCGGAAGTATATTCTCGCTTGGAGCCTCGGCTTCCGTGGTTGCTCTGGCTGCGCCCCAAACCCGCAACACTTGAACCCTTAACCCCGTTACCCCACCCAGTACTGTAATGGCCTAAATAAATGCCTATACTACTTTTTTGGGGGTTCCTTATCATAAATAAGTACAGTGTGCCAGAAAAGCCCTATTCTGATTATCAAGGCCCCCACATTACCCCACCCTGTCTGCAGCTTGCAGAGGACGAGGAGAAAGCCTACAAGGTGGCACAGGAGATTGCGCCGCTCTCCTTCATGACCGGTTGATACCTCTGTCAGTTCCAAATTTGAAGTGTAGGTTTAGGGTTTAGGGTTCTACCTTCAAACTTATTCCCTCATTTAAGGCTGTCTTGTTAGCATTCTACCGCGAAGAAATTCCCAGAGCCGACATTTCAGCAAGCTGCTGTGTTTTTGTTCGCGGGGGAAGGGTTCGTATGCGTAAATGCAAGCTGTGGGGTTATTCATTTGAAGAGATGTAGAACATGATGTGGATATGCCATGTGTTTCGACATGCATGCAGGCATGTTTGCATACACATATACACGCATAAGTGCACACATACACACTTGCATGCATACTTTTATATGTCATTGCACGTATGCTTGCAACCACACGAGCATACATCCATGCACGCATAATACACACAGCCATGTGTGCATACGTACGAGCACACTGGCATGCATATATACACACGGAGATGCATACATGCATACGAAGTTGCATGCACACATAGAATTATGTTTGCATATCTATGTGTAATATATATATATATATATATATATCTATATATGTATATAGATATATATATGTATATATAAACTATATACACATAGAAATATGTGTGCATATATATATATATATGTGTGTGTGTCTATATACGAATACTTACCTACATACTTACCGACCTACCTACCTACCTGGTTACCTACCTAGCTACTTGCCTGCCGACCTACCTACCTGCCTACATCCGTGCATACATAGAAAGATAAGTGCATGCATGCAGATATACATGCATGCATACATACTTCCATACAAGCATAGGCAATTACATACATTCATGCATAGGCACACATGCGCCACTGTACATTCATGCACACATGCATGCCTGCATGCTTACAAGCGTGCACACATGCACGCCTGCGTATGCAGACATGCACACATACCTGCATGCACACGTTCACACAAATACAGAGCTGCTTGTGTGAACTTCTCTATACATACACATATATTATGTATATATGCACATTGCATGCTTCCATGCGTGCAGAACGTAGACCGGTCAGACGACATGCACCTAAGCATCCGAAGCCCCGAACGGCCAATGATCCAGCTCCTCAGCCGTTCCAAGCGCCCAAAGCGTTTGCATACCCCAATTTCAAGGAAAGAAGCTAAAGGAACGCCGAGAACCTGCAGTCCCTTAAACCCTGAGGAATGAGGCCACAGTTCAGGAGGAGGCCTAACCCCTCAGCAATCCCTTCCATGCAAGGGCCGAGCGCAAAAGAAAGGAAGAGGAGGAAAAGAAGAGAATTGCAGAGTCTCCTCGGCTTCTGAAATTGGGTTTATAGTTCCAGGTTTGGTTAGGGGGCCCAGCTGGGGTTTTCAATTTATTTGGGAAGCCCTAACATGTCCGACAAAACTGAAGGGTCTAGGGGTTTAGGATTTAAAGTCTAGGGTGCATGGTTCAGGGTTTGTTTAATGTTTTGTGCACATATTTCGTACTTCAGGAGTATGGGCCTAAACCCTAAACCCTAAACCCTAAGTCTTGGAGCTTCGTATTCCTTGGCTCAAGATGCCCTGCCCAGCCCAGGAGGCCCTCAACAAGGGTTTAGAGTTTAGAGCTTAGGGGGTTTAGGGGGGTTTTGGGGAAAAGGAGGGACCCTTAATGGGGACCCTTTAAAGGGATCTATAGGGATTCTATAAGGGTATAGGGTTTAGGGGTTTTGGGGGTGGTTTAGGGGGTTTAGGGGTTTATTGCTTGGCCCCCCCCCCCCCCAAATTGCTACATGGAATAGGTACTGCAGGCTCGAAGTGTGCATTGTATGAGTAGATGGGCCTCCGGGCTTGAGGGCTTGTCGTTTTAGCCGAAGACATCTTTTCGGGTTGAGGCAAGGCATGTAGGTAGTTTCCGAAAATAGGGGTAATTGCCTAATTTTGGGGGTCCTTATAATAAGGATCCTACTATTTAGGGTGCTATGTTAGGGTACCCTGTTTTCGGAAACCCCCCATTTGGTGGGTTTAGGGCTTCTGTGTGGGCTCTTAGGGTCATCTCGTGGTCTCTTCTTGCGAAGGCTCAGGGTGTGGGTGCGGGGGGTTATCTAGGATGCCCAGTAGTACCCTTATTCCTTTTTTGTAGTCCTAGGTTCCTTATTAAAGTTACCCAATACCAAAAAGAGAGGCCTTTTTGTTCTTAGGTTACTGGGTATCCTAGTTATTGGCTTTCGGGTTTTCGGGTGTAATACCCCAGAATCAGAAGCTTGTCAGCCAGTGCAGCCCAGACCCTAAGCCACTTCACGACTCACGGTCTGTTGAACCCTAAACCTGAATCGACTTGCGGTTAGTTTAAATGATGGATGGGCTTCTTCCGGGTTGGGAGTTCGCATCGAGCTCCGCATGCCAATGACACCCCTGAGGGCCCTAAAGTCCTCGCTTTCTTGTGGTGTTGTAGACCTCTAAACGTCCCTGTTCTAACTATAAAGGCCCCTAAACTACGTACAGTAGAAGCCAGAAAGTTGGAACATCATTAGCCTCATGCCCTTAAAGCAAAGTATAGGGAATCCTAGCACTGATCCTCCTAAATCTATGTTCCAACTTTCTGGGGTTCACTATAGGGGCTGGGCATCCTTTGGGTTCAGGGGGTTCTCATGGTTTTAGGGATGCCGTTTCTTCGGGATTCCGGTCCTCGCTCCCGCAAGCCTTTGTGGAATACCCTCAATTGCAAGCCTTCCGTTTCGGGTTCAATAGAGAGTTTAGGGGTTAAGCGCTTAGAGTCTAGGGCCTAGGGTTCAAGCTCTAAGGGGTTGGTTCGTTGCATTTTCTTAGTAGCTGAGTGGATACACTTTACACTTTTTTTGGATAGTACTACCGACTATAAAACTAAAAGTGTACACTTCTGGGATGAACTCAGCAACTAAGTTCTGGTTTCGAGGGCTCTGCAGCTTTGTATAGAGATTGCTCTCCACGTTTCGCCTGGGGCTCTCCGAAGCCTTCCTTCTGCAGGGGTGATCGTACCAAGAATCATCCTTTTCCGCTTTCAGTATGGAGCCCTTACCAAACCAGCTCAAGCGATGTAGAACGGGACACGGAGATCGCTGGGAGGTCCTCATCGGCTGCTTTTGGGGCTCAGGGTGTAGAGTGAGTTTGCGAGACCTGCAGCCCCAATATCTTTTTGATGCAAGGTATGACTTGAAAGTGAAGATGCCTCTTGGCCAATTGGGTGGGATAGAGGGTTCCCAGATACGTTTATACCCTTACTTCAGCAGGGGGATCCTGAAAGGCCCTACTTCCGGATTTTGGTGGGTCTTTGGGTCTGTATCCTGGGCTGAAGCTTGCCAAGTCGGGTTTGGGAACGACGTTTGCACACCTGTGTAGACGCATATCTGTATATGCATATACCTGTATATATATATATATATAATATGTGTAGACTTGCAGATCTCTCTATGTATACATATACATACACACGCATACTGATATGTTCCAAATGAACATGGAAGTAAACGTGTGCATATATATATATATATGTGCAATTACATAGGTATGCTTTAATATAGCTAAACATGGTAATTAAGCACATATGCATATATATATATATATATAGAGAGAGAGAGAGAGAAAGAGATAGATGCCCGACATGTTTGTGTGTGAACATACACACCGATATACATGTCAGCAGCGTTTCATCGCCCGTCCTATAATGGCCTGCATACCTACGTAAGTCTCGACTAATAGTGGCTTTTGCAAAGCTCGTGTTCCCATGCCGGAGATACTTAAACCTTGCAAGAGTTGCGAAATATAGTAATCAAGACCAATATACATACTGTATGGCCACTCGACCCTACACCCTAAGCCCTAAGCACTTACAGAAGCACAGATTTTGGAGAAAGAGTCAGTGCACTTAAAGAAACACTTACAGGGGCACATGGACCCTGTAGCATGTTTGGTGGTGCTGAACCTTTGCTTTTCTATTTCTACCGGCTTAGACTCAGCCCTGCCCGAAGCCCCAACCCTACAAATCGTAGCAGTTGTGTGAGTTGTGTGGGTGATTTTTGTAATAAGTATAGAAGAAGCGGGTTGAAGCAACAAGAATCACCGAATGACCAGGGCTTGTATATAAGAAAGACCATCTGGCTTCTTCCTCCTACGTCCTCATCACTGCCTGCAATGTAGGAGCTTTCATCCTTAATTGATAATTGCCTATAATCTTTTGAGGTTCCTTACTATAATTGTAGTGTACTGTACCCGCAAAGCCTATTCGAATCATTAAGGCCCCTACATCATCTCCACAAACTATGGGAGACCGGAAGCCCCCATGCAGCCTGGGTCCATTCAATTCACGCTGCGAGCAGGCGCGACAAAGGGAGCAAGGCGACAGAAATTTACAAAGCGCTGAAGACGGAGCCACATCCGGATTTGGTTCAGGGTTTAGGGCTTAGCTCCTTTCGGAAAAGTAGATTGCAGAAAGTCTCGCCGACTATGGGCTCCCTGCCAGCTTCTCTTAAGGGGCGCTACTCAGGGAGTCACCATATTGACCGACGCAGTCTACTCCTGACACGCATGTGAAGCGTTCGCCGCCAGTGCCACACTGTCTGGAGCAGTGTGCAGGATTTCCTAAACCCTAACAATGAACCCTAAACCCTAAACCGTATTTCCTAAACCCTAATATTGAACCCTAAGCCCTAAACCCCAAACCATAATTCCTAAACCCTAACCCTATACTTCCGGGGACCTTATTATTGGGTCCTTAAGGGGTCTGGGGCCCTAACTATATGGGAGTTTCCGAAAATAGGGGACCCTAATATAGTACCCCAAATAGTAGGATCCTTATTATAAGGACCCCAAAATAAGGTACCCCTAATTTTCGGAAACTCCCATATGGTCCTTGGAAGCATAGGGTTAATACAAAAAACGAATTCAGGCCCAAGGTCTCCAGGATCTCGGTCTCGGACTTGGGATCAACGACTGGGCCCTGAATCCCTGCACCGACCCATTAAGGGTCCAATGTACCGATATAGGGTTCCTTGAAGGGTTTAGGGTTAGGGTTCCTTTAAGGGTTTAGGATTTCGCTAAGGGCTCCTAAGTACCAGTATAGTAGAATGTAGGGTTTCCATATTAGGAATTACTATTATGACTTAGGGAAGTATCCCCCATAACAGTACATAGGACCCTTAGGGCGATGGTTTCCGAAAATGTTGGTTACCTTGTCCCAGACCCCCGGGAGGATACAGAAAAGGGATCTAAAGGTTTAGGGTTTAGGGGTTTAGGGTTTAGGGTCTAGAAAATAGATCCCCTAATTTGGGGGCCCTATACTACTCAGGGTACTTTATAGGAACCCCGATTAAGGGAACTACTTTTTGGATCCTCCCGCGGGGGTCTGGATTCTGAGTCCCTATAGAGTGGGGATTTTGCTGTTCAGGGTCTCGTTGGGTCTTAGTGTTACTCGTAAAGTAGTATACCATTTTAACTTGTGCTTAGCATCCCGGTCCCGAGACGTTCGGAGAGCTTCTTCGAAGCTTTGACGAGGAATGGGGAGAAGATGGTACCCTAAACCCAAAACCCTAAACCCTAAACCGTAGAGCCTGAAGCCCAAGCGCTTTACTAATCCGTGCCCTATAGGCTACCCTACAACCTACCCAAATCCTGAACCCTAAACAAGTAAACCGGTTTGGGGAGTGTCAGAAACGGTAGTCTTGACTGCAAGTAGCAGGATCGCTCCTATAGGACACCTTAGCAAGGTGTTTAGGGCTTTCAGGGTCTTTTAGGCATAACATATTGAAGCAAGTTGATGATTTCCGAGTGTAGTGTTTTTGCTGTGGATTTCTGTTGAAGTTTTGCTTTTTTCGGGCGCAGTGTTCAGGATTCTAGGTTGTGGTCTTTGGATCGGGAGAGAGGTCAGTCGCGGAGAGCTTCGGCTGCAAATATGATAATCTGAAGACAATATACTCCCTGCGGCATTTGCTCATCAACAGGCACCGCTGAAGCAACACCATTTCTCCACAATGAGTGTGGTAAACAGACGTTTCTTTTAACTTATGCCACGCACTGTTTGGGAGATCTTCAGGCATTCCGGCCTTTCCCTTCAAACATCTCCTTTTTGGGTGGTTGGACCTGTTTTGCCGCAGGCGGGGGTTTGAGTCTAGCAACAGCGGTGAGAGTCAGATGCTGGCACATGGTAAACCCTAAGCCCTAAACCAGGACCCTAAATCCTAAACCCTATAGAATCCTAAACCCCCAACCCCTAAACCCTAAACCAGGACCCTAAACCCTAACCCCAAACCCCCTAAACCCTAAACCAGGACCCCCGAGACTTCAAGGGCCTCCGAAAACTGGTCCACGAGTTGATCTCCTGGTGGATGCCTGAGCGAAGACGGCGGGTTTGGGGGTTCACGAAATCTTAGTGGGGATGTTAGGGTTCATATAAAGTTTAGGGTTGATGATCTCTTTGTAGGGTTTTAGGGCTTAAGGTTTAGGGTTGATGATCTCTTCGTAATGTTTTTAGGGCTTGAGGTTTAGGGCTTATGGTACCTTTGTAGGGTTTTAGGGATTACATAGTAAGGGTTTGCGATAACCTCGTGGGGCTCTAAGATGCATGTTTTATGACATCTTAGTTACCAGAGGGTCCTTGAGTACCGGGTTTTATGGTTCGGATCTGTTATTTGTAGGTGCCCTAGCAAAAGGGTAGGGTGAGCCTCTGGGTAGGGTTCTGCGAGGGTTCTAGGAGCCTGGATTTGGGGATTAAGGTCTAGGGTTGTGTAACGGCGTTTGCCAGTGGCTTGTGATGTGAGTTAAGGTTTTCGTGTTTTTACAAGGATTCATATTCGGAATAGAACGTGGTGTTGTAAGTGTTATGGGAGGGTTTTCGGGTTGTGGATATTGTTTCCGTGAGAGTGAAAGGCTTCTGATTCAGGTTCGATGAGACTGGGTGGGTTCAGTGTTTAGGGTTTCTGGTCAGAGCAAGGGGAGGGGTTTGCTTTGGTCATAGGTTTCTTGGAAGAGTTCTAGCAGCAGTTTTGTACACGTCGGCATGTGCAAGCTGCATGTTTCTTGTGCTGCATCTTTAACACCAATCTTGGGTGGTGTATTGCATATAGTTGCATGTTGCGATTTCTGTCTCTGCTTGCTGTTAGGATAGGACAGGATGAGTAGATGTCGGGCTTCAGGGCTGTTCAACCGTTGAGTGCGGGACTCTTGCACAGTTGGGTGTTACCGGTAGCAATCTTCCCTTTGGGGTTTAGCATATCGGTTTGTTCATTAACTTGGGAGTTTTGAAGTTCAATCCGAAGTTTCATCCGTAGTTCACATAGGACTTGGAACAGTCAGATGTTACTGTTTGCTATTTACTTGATTATGTAGTTACTATTCCTGCTACTATTCACTATTTGCCCTTTACAGTTGCTATTGCTATTTCTATTGCTATTTTTTGTACTATTGCTACTATAGTACAGCGATTACTGCTGTTGTTTTTAGTACTGCATGCTACTACAGAGTCAGGTGGGGCTTCGACACTGCCATCGGCGTGGTTATCATGGCCAATGCCATCACCATCGGCTGCTCGACAGCACTGGTAGTAGTAGCAGTAGTAGAAGTGGTAGTGGTAGTAGTGGTGGTAGCAGTGTAGAACAAGTAGCAGTAGCAGAAACAGTAGTAGCAGTAGTATAGCAGTAGCAGTAGCAGTAGCAGTAGCAGTAGCAGTAGCAGTGGCAGTGGCAGTGGCAGTGGCAGTGGCAGTAGCAGTTGCAGTAGCAGTAGCAGTAGCAGTAGTAGCAGTAGCAGTAGCAGTAGCAGTAGCAGTAGTAGTAGTAGTAGTAGTAGTAGCAGTCGTAGTGGTACTAGTAGTAGTAATAGTAGTAGTAGTAGTAGTAGTAGTAGCAGTCGTAGTGGTACTAGTAGTAGTAATAGTAGTAGTAGTAGTAGTAGTAGTAGTAGTAGTAGTAGTAGTAGTAGTAGTAGTGGTAGCACTAGTATTAGTAGTAGTCGTAGGTCGTAGTGGTAGTGGGCATCCCCAGCCGTTTGAAGCAAACGAAACGACAAAGAGTTTACATCGTAAACCATGCACTGTAAAACCCAAATCCATTCCTTACACCCAGAGGGTCCCTGTTATAAGACTTAAGGGCCCTTTTTAGGTATCAAACACCATAAGTAAGGACTACTTCGGTTGATGATGTAAATTCTGCATTACCCATAATAAGGAATATGCCATAATTCCCATAATTTTGGGTCATTAAGGTGATGCAGGGTTTTTATCATCAACTGTTGGACCCTTAGGGACACAGGATTCTCGACGTTAAGAGAGCATTTGAGCAGCTGGGCTGGCTTGGTCTCAGGGTTCAGACCCTCGAAGCTTGAAAAGTCGTTCCTTTGCTATGAACGGTTTAGGCTTTAGGGCCTAGATAATTACCAACTAGATATACAGCGACAGCACCGGTTAAGAATCAGTTATTTTTTCGTGAGGGGGGGCTCGATGTCTTATTATTGAAGCGCAACCTTTTTAGTAAACACATGTTTCGGGATTTGAGGGTACCCTGGATTTCTGTACCCAAATTTCTTACATAGTTTGAAACGGCAGCAACTAAAAGACTGCTTCAGGAAATGAGAACACAGGAGGGTTCGAGCCCGCAGCACCTCCTATCCCAGCACATGAGCTGGAATGGAAAGTGCTGTGGGCTCGAATCCTCCTGTGCTCTCATTTCTTGGTTTCCTTTGTAAGGGTTTGGCGCCGAGCTTGTGGAACACGAAATCTGCTCCCTCAGTTTCTTGGTTTACTTTTTTGCGCGAACAACACCAGCGAAGGCAACATGAGAAAGAGCAGAATAATAAAATCGCACGCCGAGTCGAGGGTACCCTGGATTTCTTATTTGGAATGCGCGCATTTTGATCTACATATTTTAGTCGCACGGCTGTCCGAGGGGCTCAACTTCTTAAACCACTGATATCTTAAGCAGTGTTGTTGCTGTAGTACAGTGTGCCCCAAAACCGTATTCTAGTTGTTGTGGCCCTTTGTGTTAGCCTCCATGGTCTGGTTGTAGTACCAGCGGAATTAAGTCGGGGTTCAAGGTTCTAGGCTTCAGGGTATGGAGTTAAAGCTTCTGGGTTTCGGGCGCAGGATTTACTGTGGGGTCTCGAATAAACGGTGTTATATTGTGTGTATATCTTATCAAGCAGATCCCCAAGCCTAATCCTAGTTATTAAGGCCTCTATGCTCACTGGTACTCCTACCCCCCTATACTCCCGTGCGCATAAGAAAACAGTTTCAAATCAGTGTGTATATATACAATTGCACATATATATATATATATATATATAAATGGGTGGTTGACAAGGTTAGGACCCCTTTTGGGTCCTTACTATACTACGGCACCTAGTATTTAGGGTATCCCGAAAAAGGGGCCCTAATTTTGACAGCCACCCATATATGTATAGGTAGAGATGTGTACATCTGTACGGCAAGACGGCAGAGGCCGGTCCTCCCAGGCCAGGGTTTTCTAGTGGCTTGATAAATTTGAAAGCCCCAAACATCCTAAATCCTTGAAAAAACCCTAAAACCCTCAAACCCTAAACCCAAAACCCAAAACCCCTAAACCCTGACACCTAAACCTAAAACCCCTTATAACCCTCAGAAACCTCGAAGATGACCCGAGGCCCTAAGCCGGTCTTCGCCCAGGTTTCGAAACACAGGCCAAGTCGTCGCTGCCTTTGGGCTGCACCGACGCCTGCATCTGTACGGCGCCTTGGCCTTTGGGAACTTCTTGCCTTTTGCTTGCAGGGTTTTCGGGATCGGGGGTCGAGGTTTGTAGGATCCTTGAAGTTCAAGGTGTTGGCCTTCTAGACTTTAGAGTTTGATGTGTGGTTAGGCCTTGGGGCTATCGGACTTTTGAGTTGACTGTATGGCCTGAGGTCGGGTTGTCAGTTTTTGGGTTTCGGGCTTGCCTATCCTGGTCCTGGTCTAGCCTATTTACAACATGCAAGCGGGGAGTCGTAAGTAGATTCAGTCTGAAAGGCTGAGCTAACTGCAAGCACGAGTATGTCTTGATTTGTGGTAATGTAGGAACTTGATTAAGAACCCCTGGGCCTAAAATAGAAGGATTCATATACGGAACCCAAACCTAATAGAGGCCCAAGGTTTCTCAATCAGGTTCCTCCATTATTATAACCCTTATTATAGATACCTTATAGGAGCCCTTATAGACCCCTTTAAAGAACCCTACTAATGAAGGCCCAAGATTTCTTAATCAGGTTCCTACATTAGGCCGTTGGGCCTGCACTATTGATGTTACCTACAGTCTCCATTGTAGTTCCCTTTTGGGGCTACCTTATAGTATCCTAATGAAAAATGGTTAAACCATAAAAAGGAACTACAATGGAGACTATAGGTAGTGTTTGTCCACACAACTTGCAAGATTTAGCATCCGAAGCCTAAGCCCGAAATCAGCACCCGAAGCCCTCAAAGCCCTTCAAGAAGTACGTGCAGTGCAGAAGGAGAGTGAGGAAACTGTCTGCAGCTGACTGCCTCAAGCCCTCAGCTCACTGCAAACCAAGCCGTCCCTCAATCCGAAATCCCAAACCCTGAACGTAGCGTCTCCACTGTAATTAGTTTAAGCAACATTTACATTAAGGATCCTAGCCAAAGAATGTGCAACTCAAAAAACGAACTACGATGATGGAGACTATAGGTAGTCCTGCAGAACCAGGTCAAGCTCTGCCAACCATACCAACCGAGTCGTTCAGCATCGTACGGTCCTGTAGGACTGTAGGAATTCGGACAAGCCCATCAACCAATGTACATAGACCATAGTGCAAAGCATCCCAACCTCTGGCAAATTTGCGCATTTTACTACATGAAATCGGGTTTGCATGGGGGATTTCGGGTAAGCATAGGTGCGGGGTACCAGTATCAAGTCCACGTCATATGTACCCGAAACACACCCTCTCGGACACGCAGAGAATCCTAATACAACCCTTATAGAAGTGGAAAGCCTTCACCCGAAGGGTCCAACGCACTCAATAAAAAGGTACTGGGTTTTAGGATAGTAGTTATGTAGGTTAGGATTTTGGAGAGTAGTGTGGCGGTTTGAATAACGGACGGGCCTCCCCGCCGCCGCAACCAAAAAGTTGGGGTTTGATTAATTTGGAACCGGTAACCCCGGACAGGGGTCAGGGATCTGAGTGGGGCTCAGGGTTTGGGTGGCTTTGACGATTTAATCAGATTCCTATCCTGCAACCTTAGGAAGGCCTTCCTAAACCCCCTTTGAAAGCTTAGAAAACCTTGAGATTCCTATCCTGAAACCTTAGGAAAGCCCTTCCTAAACCCCTTAGTAAGCCTAGAAAACCTTAGGAAAGCTTTCCTAACCCCTCAGCAAGCTTCGAAAACCTGAGATTCCTGTCGTGAACCTTAGGAAAGCCCTTCCTAGCCCCGTAGAAAGCTTCGAAAACCCTTCAGATTCCTATCCTGCAACCTTAGGAAAGCCTTCCTAACCCCGAGCAAGCCTGGAAAAAAAACCTTAGGAATAGGTGGGTCTGGGCTTAAGGAGGTGGGTTTTCGGGTTTAGGGAGAGTTTTAGGTTTGGGTTTCAGTTAAGGGAGGGGGTCCAAGGTTTGAGTTTTTAGGTTTAAGTATGCCTGGTTTAGGGCTTCAGGGCCAGGGTTTTAGGGTTTGGGTGGGGGTTTAGGTCCTGGCTGCCTTAAGATTGACCATCAGCAGACAGCACAGCCACACCCCCAAAATTCACCCCCAGCCAAAAAAAAACGCAATAATTAGACCGCCCAAATTTTGGGTGCCGGTCTGAATTAGCCGGAGAAAACGCATTAAAGACGCCCATATTCCTAAACACGCCGGCACATTATATGATAATTAGGTACTTGGACCCTTAGGGCCATAGAACATGAGTCACCAGTCAAAGGAGCGCTTCGAACGTGGTTTGGCCGCGGCCTCACATCGGCCTGCCTTTTGTGGCCCTTAAGTCATTCACGCGTAGTTCGTCAGTTTAGGGGCCCTTAACTGGTTGAATGTTCAGGGTTAGGGTCTAGGCTTAGGGTTTTAGCATCCAGGATGTAGTTAGGGTCTTCAGTGTTTATCATCGACAATCTCGAGTTTCTGCTGTGCAGCAGATAGGTTTTACGGTTTGAGTTCAGGGTTTGCTGGATACCGAATAGCCATGTGTTTGTGGTGTTTGTTGCAGCTAGCGTGATACGATTGGGGCCGTGAGGGTTTTTTGGGGTTGGAGTTTAGAGAATTCTGCAGGCTTTTGATGTTCCACGGTATCCATGAATGGCCTGAAAAGCCTTAATCTTGCGGAAAAGTTTTTTGGTCGCTAGTTTAGTTGGGGTTTGGGACGTTCGGCAAATTTAGTTTGTGTTGATCATTTGTGGCGTATCTACCTTTCGGATGAGCGATGTATCCCTACCATGCCCTTAAACACTGAGTCTTCGTGTCTTTAAAGCCCTATACACCGACCCGAAACCATGATCCCTGGAAGCTTTTCAACTTACTAGGCTCTTGAAGCATTGCTGACAGAGAACCCCAGAACACCTGCTATGCACCAAACATCTGTGCGAAAATCAGCTGCTGCCGCTGGGCTCCGGAACGACATGTGGACGGGCTACGCGCCCGAGCTCCTCCGCAAGAGGAAGGTGACCGTCATGAAGATGATTAGCGCCAGCCCCTGCCTGACAACGCTGCTGTACTTCTCCATAGCATCGAGCCGAAGCCGCGCGCACAACGCCCGACATCTTCTGGGAACTCCAGGCAACGCCTTGACCTTTCCGGTGGCCCGGGAGAAGCTGCTGCAGAACCTCCAAGACCACCTATAATCTCCATTGTAGTTCCTTTTTGGGGTTACCTTAAAGTATATAATTAAATAATTGGTTAACCATAATTAGAAAGGACCTACAATGGAGACTATAGGCACGAAGAGAACATGGCCTCCACGGAAGCCCCGGCCGGCACTTTGCCGTGCGGAGCGCAGCAGCTTGGCGACGTGGTCCGGGTCAAGACTGCGTGAAAAGGAGACCCGAGCCCTAAACACCTAAACCCGAGAAGCCTCGAAACCGAAAACAATTGCAAAGTTTCTGGACACCTGAAATGCCTTGTAGTAAGCCTATTTGTAAGCCGACAGTCTTAGAGGAACCTTTTGGGAGCCCTTGTAGAACTTTTGTAAGTCTACAAATGATACCCCAGTTCAAACCCCAGAAGCCCAGCCCTATGCCGCGAACCCTAAATTCCTAAACCCTAAACCTCCGAACCCTAAACCCTACATAAATCTGTATAAACCCTAAACCCCTAAACCTTAAAGCTTAAGCACACGCCTGTCTATCCAGGCCCCGGAAGCTTGCAGCTTGGCCTCCGCTGGTTAAGGGTACCCGAAACCCTCTGGTTGGGCTTTAGCTAGAGGCTCCATAGTAGTTCCTTTTGGGGCTTCATATTTAGAAACCTAGAAGGTAATCCCAAAAAGGAACTACCATGGAGCCTATGGGTAGGTTAGGGCTTGGGGGATTTGGGTTTGGGGTTGCGGTTTTGGGGTTAGGGTTTTAGGTGGGGGGCTGGGGTTTGGGTTTAATATAGGGGCCTCAATAAATACCTATACTATATTGGGAGCTCCGTATTATGATTATAGTATGATGGGTTCTTATTCTTAAAGGCCCTTTATTACTCGAGGCGCTTCGAAAGGTGGGATGAAGGTAGTTGGGATTACGGATCCATTTTGTAGGGTTCTTATCCGGGATCACCCCACTTACCTTCACCTTACCTTTGACATACAACCCCGAGCCCAAAAGTCGCCTCATCTTGGAAAGTGGTTCTGATAAGCAACTTACGTCACGGCTTAGAGTTCCGAAGGTGTCAGGGGTTACCCTTAGACCTAGCGGTTGTTTTGTTGGGTTTAGGGTTTCTAGGGTCCGTAAGGCTTAAGGGTATAGCGCAGTTTCAGAGGAGCTGACTGTTGACCTAGACTCTTGAAGGGTCCAAGCACCTTACATGCTCCTGTAAAAGGTCCTTTTGAGGGCTCCTTTAATAGTCGCTTTCACGGTACAAAGAGCCAAGAGGCATTGTTTGACATCCAGACCCTAAGCCATAACTTTAGGGTTATCAGGCTTATGGCAGGTTTTTGTTGCTTGGGCAGTACAAATACCCTGAGCCCTTGCCCCTGAACCGGCCTGAACCGTTGTGGGTTGTCAATGGGAGTTTTCTGAGGCTGATGAATCCGTACTATAAATTAGATCCCCAATACCTAAGCTTTAAATTTTGGGGTTCTTATAATTCAGTAGGAATCGGCAAGTTTAGCCGTTTATTTCTGTGGCTTATTGGGGTAGTAGGATGAGGGCCTTAATACTTACTACAGTTATTCTAGTATCATGGGCCGCAAAACCTTATTCGAATTATTAGGGAGGGCCCCTTTATTAGGGCAAGCCCACGTTCTCCGTTTTGGACCATGCACAGGCCACCATATCTCAAGAAGCCACCATGCCTCTTCCTGCAATTTCGCTGCTGCACCTAAGGACTGGTGTATAGGTCATTTTATGTAAATTTGCGCCGAAAATCTTGTTCTGTTTACAAGGCGGCAATATGACCTCTATCAAAGCCTTCTAAAGCTCTCTAGAACCCGTCTACAGCCTTGAAAATCGTACTCTGATCACTAAGCGTCTCATATTTGTAGTAGTTTCGAGCTGCTGGGTCTGGCTATCTCTCCGAAGAAATCATTTCCAGACGCGTACAGGCCTGCAAAAGCCTAAACTCTATGACATCCCTAACAGCTTCTCCAAAAGCCCCTTGAGGGTTCAGGGTTTAGGCAACATTTCCCCTAACCCCTGTGGGGCGCTAGGAGGGGCCTTGAATTTGTTTGTGGTATTCGGATTTTGAGGCACCGTACCTCCGGCTTGGACTGCCATCGCAGACTACATCTTCTATGGCATTTACGCAGCTGGACCGCATGGTGAAAGGTACCCAATGGGATTCGGTTTTATATGGTTTCATAAGATTTCGTCTGGTTGTTGAGCGGTTCCAGATGCAGGTGCCCACGGCGCCCTAAACCCTAAACACTACCTATAGTCTTCATTGTAATTCCTGTTTTTGGTTAACCAGTATGATGGTATTATATCCTTCTATATATATATATATATATTATTTATATCTTGGTTAGCAGAAAAGGGAAATACATTGGAGACTATAGGCTTAACCAGTTTTCTGTTGGGCTACAGCCCGATTTAGAGCCTGAGGCCTGGGCCTTAAAAAGGGATGCCTACGACTGAAAGTTTGAAGCTTGGAAAGCTTGGACCCTGAGCCCGAATCCAGACCCCTTTTACCAGGACTAAAGCACCCCCTGTCACCCCCCCAAGCCCCCAAGGGCCCTTTAATAGAGCCCCTATGGCTCTTAATAGTGGGTATTTGGGGTAGGTTAGCAGGTAGTCGGGGGGTCTGGATAGGGGTGTAGGGCTTTGGGGTTTACGGTTTAGGATTTACCTATAGTCTCCATTGTAGTTACTTTTGGGGGTTACCTTATAGTATCCTAATTATATCATTGGTTAAACCACAAAGGAACTACAATGGAGACTATAGGTAGGTTTTGGGGCTTTGGGGTCTGCGGTTTTGCTGGACCCTTGGACCTCGGACCAGCAGTTGAACCCCTAAACCTGAAAGAAGCTAGGACCCTGAGTGAGTAAGCGCCTACTCCCTGGTTTAGGGTTCAGGTGCCCTTATTACACCCTTTAAACCAAAAAAGGTTACGCTCAGGTCTAGGAAGTAAGAAGCACCCATTCTAAAACTGTTCCTTAACTCAAGAATATACCTTCAGTTAAAGTAGGATCCTCAGTATTGGGTAAACCCCCCAACAACCGCATCCTCAAAACTGGCAACCACCAGCAGCCTCGCCAACAGATGCTGGAAGCAGTATCCCCCCCGCCATAGATACCCTAAACCCTAAACCCCTAAACCCTAAACCTTAAACCCTCCAAATTCAAGCACTACTTAAAGACCAACGCCCTGCTAGAAGCAGTCCGGAACCCTTAAAGGCCCAAAACCTTGAAACGGGAAAGCGCCCTCAGGCCAAAGCCCGCAAACACGAAAAGTGCTGGGTTCTTGGTAAGGAATTCCGTTTAAGTCACCAAAATATTGATCTATAGAACGTAGTAGGGTTTTGTTGTTTTCGTGCTCATTTGTACGATTTTAAATATCTTTAAAAAGAATCCAGCATAGACATGATTCAAGACTGCAACTGAAAGCCGCAATAGGAACCCTACATTCAAATAGGGCCCAGGACTAGGACGGACATCAAGATAATGAGAAATATCGTCGTCAGCTTCATGAGCAGCATCGTCATCATCAGCATCACCATCATCCTCAACCATCCATGGCGTCTGCACATGCAGCTAGGTAGGCATATAGCGACACGCCGCGCCTCAGGTGGTGGAGCTGTTGCTGCGCGTTGGCGTTTATGGCGTCCTAGTCTTCAAGTCTGGATGGGCCGTGCACTCATGCGGAGGGGTCGCGGACGGGGGAGGGGTATAATCTGCGTAAGTTTCGACACACGAGTGAAACCAGGGACTTGAATTCAACCTGCAGTCTCCATTGTAGTTCCTTTTTAGGGTTACCTTATAGTATCCTAATTATATAATGGGTTAAACCAAAAAGGAACTACGATGGAGACTATAGGAAGACTCTGACCCCTGAGGCCAGCAATCCGATGACCTAGTTTCGCCAAAATCTTGAATCCACCAACCCGACACCCTTCGAGTTGGGCTATATGAGGTCATGAACATGCTCTGGGTCGTTTACAGGTTTATTGCCTCAGGTTTTTGTTGTCCCGTCTGGGATTTCAGTCGGGGGTAGAGATTGTTCAGCAGCAGGAAAGCTAGATAGTGCTTAGCCAAGGGAGCTCAGTGCTCTCAGAATCGTAGTAACGGACCCTGCCGTGATACCGCCAGTGCACAAAGTCCTTCACATCCATAAACTATGTCACAATTCCATCAGCTCAGGGTATTTGAGGTAATAGGGTTTAGGGTTGTAAACCCAACACCCCACCGCAAACCGGGGAAGTGGTACAAGGGGGCGCTCTCAAGTCTGTCAATGCTGCAAGACTTTTTGTGAATGTTGAAGAAGCACACATAGGATCCCTTGCACCACGAATAATACCAGTAGCAGTAGTAATAACAAGAGCAATGCTAACTTATATTAGTACTATCGTAATAGCCACAATCACAGCAGCTGCAGCAGCAACGGCAGCAACCACATCCACAAAATTCATGGATGCAGTACACATGTTCCCAGACTCCGAAACCCTAAACCCTACACCCAGACTCCGAAGTTTTTTTGTGAGAGTCAAGCAATGCACCGAATCTTGCTCTGTGGGGCCTGAATCGCTTCCTTTCAATGCTCATACGAGGCCAAGAGGGGTTTTAGCCTATGGGGGTTCAGTTGGGATCAGGGTTCCAATTATTGGGGTTCATATTTAGGAATCCCTCCCCAAGAATCTTAAGCCCCCCTTTTGGCCTCCCATCAAATGCTGGACATGCTGCACATTCGCACAGTGGCGGGTGAAGGACTCTTGGCCCTTGACTTGGCGAGCTTTCACGAGACGCTTCCTGCAGGCATGTCTCCAGTACGGGCATTGAAGCAACACTTGCACAGCAGATGTGGGCTGTCAAGGTTCAGGCAAAGGCTGGTTCAACTGGGTGATGACGCGGTTCTAGATGACAACTGCTTCTTGAGAACCGGCGAAGTTCAGGTCGTTCTTCTAAGCTTTTGCCCAGTATCTGACGCGCAAGTGACAGCGGGGATGCTGCAAGAAGCGGCCTGACATCAGAAGTGGAGAATCTCCTCCAGATGCCACAAGACCCTGACGCAGTGTGTGTTGGTCATCGAACACCCCTGTTAGAGGCATCCGCGCACGGCCACCTCGAGGTGACACGCCTTTTGCTGGAGGAAAGCAGACAAGGAGAAGGCCAGTCACAATGGCGACACCCCTTTGTACGCCGCAGCTCAGACTGGACAGCTAGAGGTGGTGCAGCTGTTGCTGGAGGCCAATGCAGACAAGGAGAAAGCCCATCAGAATGGTGCCACTCCGTTGTACATCGCAGCTGAGACAGGACAGCTGGAGGTTGTACGGCTCTTGCTGGAGGCCAATGCAGACAAGGAAAAGCCCGATCAGCATAGTGGTGCCACCCCTCTTGTCGTCGCAGCTCACACTGGACGGTTGGAGGTTGTGCGGCGTTTGCTAGAGGCCAAAGCCGACAAGGGCAGGGCCACTCAGAGTGGTGCCACCCCTCTATTCATCGCTGCTGAGAAAGGACAGTCGGAGATTGTGTGTCTATTGCTTGGGGCCAATGCGGACAAGGAAACAACCCATCAGAATGGTGCCACTCCGTTGTACATCGCAGCTGAGACTGGACAGCTGGATGTTGTGCGGCTGTTGCTGGAGGCCAACGCGGACAAGGAGAAAGCCCATCAGAATGGTGCCACTCCGTTGTACATCGCAGCTCAGAAAGGACAGCTGGAGGTTGTACGGCTTTTTAAATCGCCGTAAAAGCCTTTGTCAAGGCCTTCTAGGGACATTCTTAAACAACCATACGTAAACCGATACAAAATGTACCTGTAAGCAGCCTTATAGCAATCATTGATGGAGACCACATAATCATCATCATATACCCATAGGCTTCATAGTAGTTCCTGCTCGGAGGTATTCTATAATAAGATTGTCCCAAAAAGGAACTACTGTGGAGCCTATGGGTAACCATCGGTTCCTTATTATAAGTGCATTATAGTGGGCCCCACATCCCTATCCCAATTATTAAGGCCCCTGTATGACCTGGATCCTAACACCTACTGCTGCAAGAGGTCATACCCTACAATTGAAGTGCTGCTGCCTAATTTCCGTAAGCTTGCAGCGCACCTACCAGTGATTTGTTTCTGACGCCCTGCTCGAAGGATAGCAATTCATTCGTAAGTAGGTATATAATTACTCTGAATTGCTGCAAGAGTAGTGGCAAGCTTACTTGGTTTATGGCCTACAGGAAACTCTGGCGTACTTGGCCCCCGTAACTATAACTTAAAGCCCAACAAAGTCAGTAGCCTTTAATAACCCTAAGGCCTAAACCCTTAACCCCTAAACCCTAAGCCCTGTTATGATGGGGCACTGCAATTAAGTGGGGATCCTGGGTTCGCGTTTTGAGGTGTTTAGGGTTTAGGGAGTTTTGGTTCCGGCCCTAGAAGGTTCACAGGGCTCAGCACCAGAAACCTGGGACGTGAGGGACATCAGAAGTTCGGAATTTGGGAGTTTCCGAAAATAGGGGACCCTAAAATAGCACCCTGAATAGTAGGATCCTGATTATAAGGATCCCAAAACAAGCCACCCTGATTTCCGGAAACTCCCATTTAGAGAGACCCCGGGAACTTAAGCCTGCAACCTTTACAAACCAGAAACCCAAAACCCTGACCACGAAGCCCTAAACCCACCAACCCCAAAAATCTGGCAAACCCTGTCCTTATCATGAGGACCGCTGAGTCTGGCATCCCCAATCGATCTTTGTTTGAGAAATCCCACCTTGCAATGCAGACAAGGTCAAGTTTGACTGTTTCTTGGTGGTCACAGCATCTTGCGTGCCTTGGCTGTAGGCACGAACCGAACCCCTAACTGCTATTTCTTGCTCCAATCCCGCAAACCTCGAAGCCCCATCCCACCTGCTTCCAAAGTCATAAACCACAACCCCCTAGTTGGCCCTATTTAAACTCAAAGCCCGCAACCCCCTAAACCCGAAACTTAAACCATATGCCCCAAACCCCCGAAACCCTATATGCCTTAAACCCTTTAAACCGTAAGCCCTAAACCTCCTGATAAATCCCAGCCGCTTCTTCCGTGCGCCTGGGGAGGTCTTAAAACCCGGGGCCACAACCCTAAGGCTCCATGTACCTGAAGAGTATAGGCCTTGAAGGTGTGCCTAAAGTAAGATTAAAAAATATATAGGTACATGAAGCCTTAGGGAGCAGTATCAGATGCGGATTTACGGTGTTCCGTTTGAGGGGTTCGGTGTTTGGGGTTTACGGCTTAGGCTTCTGAGATCCTATGTGTGTGTACTTTGTTTGTATGTATATATATATATATATATATATACATATATAGTTTACATACATACATATACACATACACATACACATACATATACATATACATATACATATACACATACTGTGTATATAGATACAATACATGTGTATTCTAAACAGCTATATTACATCCATATGTGTGTGTGTGTGTCTACGTATACGTATACATATTGCAAACTTCACCCCCCACACACACACACACAGAGCCCTGCCTAAGTTGCGAATTTCCCTTTCCTTGGTTCCACTGTTTCATTATAGGGCCCCAGCCAGGAAAAAATGCTTGCTATCAAACAGAAAGGTGGCTCAAACTTCAAACGCTCTGGTTCGCGTTAGGCTTGAGGTTTACGGCTTGATACAGAGTATCAGAGTTCATTTGGACACCCAAGCCCTACAGCAGTATTGAGACTGTAGACGGCCGTCAGCTCATTGTGCGGCATTTCGTGCTTAGGCGCCGAAGTTAGGCAGCACGTAAGCCGCTTAAGAACCCGTGTACTTCTATAGAATATATTGAGTTAACCTCCCAAACTTTCAACCTGTCACCTCCTCTACATCAAGAGCCTTCCAAACCGCCCTCAACCCTCCCTTAAAGGACATGATCATCAAGGCGGTTGATTCATCTGCCGTCGTCCCACGGCCACAAAGAGACAGAGAACGGGGTGTAGGCATTGAGACTTCTGGATGTACACCTCAGGGTATTCGGTTCAGGGTCCGAAGTTTCCTTGAACCCTAGACTCTAAAACCCTAAACCCCTAAACCTGTACCGTGGATTGGGGCGTCCTTCTCTAAAATCGAACGACCTTTCTCAGAGATCATATAACCCAAAATTTCAAAGATAACCTATGTTCATTGCCGGTTTGGGCTGGGTCCATAAGTAAGAAATGCCCTAAACCCTAAACCCTAAGATGCGGTATCAATGAACTCGTTTCACTTCGTGGTTTCGGCCTGCGACCTTGAGCTCGGTTTTCCCGAGCTCGTAACTTATGCTAAAGCCTTAAATCCCAGACCCTAAAGTCTCTGTCATAGTTGGGTAAACTTTTGCATTTTTAAGGGTACTTAAACCCAAAAAAGAATAAAAACATAAAATTTTTACCTTATCCCAACCATGAACCAGAAAGCGTTATGTGCACCCTGAAGCTCTCTTACCCCTGTTTACTGGCCCAAGTGCCCAATAACTCTATGAATGTGGGTTCAGGAGTCGGACCCATATGGCAAGGTTGTGCACCCGCGAAGTATCAAGGCTCAGCATTCAGGTGATTCTGAGCGTGCGGATGATGGTTCTGATCAGCATTACCACTATCAGTGTCTACCAGTACTATTGCTGCGTTTATGCGCAGGGCTTGAGGGCTTAGGCTGGGAACGGTCCCTAATTACCCGAAAATTCAACACCTTACCTATGGTCTCCATTGTAGTTCTTTTTTTCTGGTTATAACGTAAATGAAAATGAACAGGATGCCAACCGTAAAGACTTGTCAACCAAAAAGGAACTACAATGAACTACAATGGAGACTCTAGGTAGTACCTTAGTAGTCCTAAGGCCCGTGAACCCCTGGAGTCCGCACCCTCTGGTCGCAGTACCCAGGCCCCTTGAATCCCAGAAACGGGCGCTACCTATAGTCTCCATTGTGGTTCCTTTTTGTGGTTTAACCACTTACATTAAACGAGGATACTATAAAGTAACCCCAAACAGGAACTACAATGGAGACTATAGGTGCTTTCTAAGGTCTGCCTGGGCCCTCTTTCTACCCTCTTTGCGTCCCTACTAAATACCTAGATGTAAGGAACGTTTATCCCTGCTTGAGGGTGCAAGGAGGATCCGGCTACTATAGGGGCCTACATAGTTACCAATACTATTTGTGGGGGGGGAGGTCCTTATTCTAAAGGGGGGGGAGGTCCTTATTCTAAGTATAGTATCAATCAAGGTCCCTACATCATAGAACCCTTACAGTAACCCTTACAGAGACCCTTTAAAGGAAGCCTATTCTAATTATATATTAAGGCCCCTATAGTAACATGAAGACTTCCAAGTTGGACGAGTTCAACATCTTCATGCTGGTGCGCATGTTGCGCTTGGCACGGCTAGCTCGTGCGGTGCGCTTGATGGCTCCTTGGCCTGGAAAGAGGTTTATACCATCAGGTCCCAAGGACTACGACTACGGTTGATGATGTACACCCTGCATTATGCGTAATGCAGGTTTTTCATCATCAACCGTAGTATAAGGCCTTTGGGGCTGAAAGACCATACTATACGAGGCTTTTGTGCCATTTTGAGCCCGAAGGGCAAGGTTTAGAGATAGAGATTTTGGGGTTTCAATGTTCATGACGTCGCGAAAAAGTTTCGTGAAACGACAGATCGCGAGCCCACAAATTACCTGAGTTGCAAGTAGCCTATAGCCGGTCCAGCTGTTGCGGTACATTCAAGATCATTTTTGCCGACTGCAACATCTGTACCCATAGGCTCCGTTAGTAGTTCCTTTTGGGGATTTATATTTAGAGTCCTATAAGGTAATCCCGAAAAGGAACTACTATGGAGCCTATGGGTAATACATAGCAGGGGTTAGCAGAATGTCTGAGTGCCCGCTTTTCGGATGGTTCATTTGTTTCGCTGTTTGTTCGGTATGCTGCTCTTCTTCGATCTGTTTCTATACCTACAAGCACATGTGCTCATACAGATACTGTGCGGTTTCAGATCTGTATACACAAGTATGCGTACATATCTGTACATATGTATGGGAGTAGGCAAGTGTGCATGCAGTTGTGCATCCTTACATATATATATATATATATATATTGCATCCTTACATATATATATATATACACATGCATATATATATACACACATGCATATATATATATATATATATATATATATATTTATTTATTTATATTTATGTATACATAATCCACTCCAGTCACTCTACTCCACCCCACTCACTCGCTCACTAGCTCGTCGTCGTCGCCGAACATGTCACAGCGGGGGCAGCTAGATCACGTTTACTGTGCGAAGAGTTGTACAGCATTATACAGCGGCCTTGGCCCAACCTTGGCCAGTGGTCAACGTAACCCCTAGTGCAACCCTAAACCCAAACCCTGGCATAGACAAGCCAGGCTCTGTCCCAGACCCTCAGCCCCGAAGCTTGAACTAGAAGGGCCTGGGCTGGAGGCCCGAACTCTTCGATCCCTCACACAATGAAGCCCACACCGTTATGGGTCCATTTACTTCCCGCCCTTTCAGTTCAGGCTCTAGGCCCTACCGCGTAGTAGATTGAGGGTTTGGGGTGGTGCATTCGGAGATTCAATATTCTAAGTTAGACGCTGCACACAAGAAGCTCTTATCCTGCCTTACATGATCCTGAGCCCTAAGGCCTAAACCCACCCACCTGAACTGCAACACAAAACAATTGTGCCCACAAGAAAGTCGCCGTGATGTGAGCAACACCGAGATGGAAAGCACCTGAACAGGTGTATGAGGTCTGTAGGGTTTAGGGTTTGCGGTTTAGGGCCAATTTTGGTTTAGGGGCACTGGTTCAGGGTTGTAGGGCTTAGGGCCTTCAACCTAAACACAAACCCGATATTTTATCCAACCTTACCACAAAGCCCTCAACCCTAGACCCGGCGTGCCTGCTTGTGACACTTAGGTATAGTTCCCATGATCCGACAACCGCAAATCCCTCTAATCCCTCCGACCCTCGACCCTCCATGAAATTGCGTCTACGAGGGTTTTCTAGAAAAGCCTTCTAGAGAAAACGCCAGTTTCCTAGAAAATCCTAGTAGTTCTACACTTCGCATTGAATAAATCCCTTTGCTCGACAGTCCTGACCCCCAAAAGGCTGTGATCCCAGACCCTGCAGCCCAAAGCCATACAGCCCTGGTTTAGCGTACAGCTACAACACTACAACCTTTAGGAAACCCGAAACCCTAATCACGCCCCGAAACCCTAAACCCTAATTACAGGCTTAACCCCCAAGGGCTTATAAGCCCTAAACACACAAGGGAGTTTCCGAAAACAGGCGACCCTCATATACTACCCTAGATAGTAGGATCTTTTCAGGATCCCAAACTAAGGTACCCCTTCTTTTCGGCAATTCCCTTATCATCCATACCTATGCCCTAAAACCCTAAACCCTAACCTCAAGGGTCCAAGTACCTAGTAGTCATATACTCTACCAAATCCTAACCTACATAACTACTACCCTAAAACCGAGTACCTAATTATTGGGTCCTTTAGACCCTTGGGGTCAAGCCCTAAACACCCTACCTATAGTCTCCTTTTAAGCCCATCTAAACCCTAAACCCTAAACCCTAAGCCCTAAACCCTAAACCCTAAGCCCATAAGGTCCAGTTCAAGACGCTCTGGCAGCTGGTCCAGGGTCTCTGGCATAGATCTTTGGCCAGAAATCGATCTTGAAGAGCGACAGGAAGGATTTCTTTCAGGGCTCTTTAAAGCTTCTAGAAAGCTTCTATAGGATTTCTCTCAGGGCTCTTTAAAGCTTCTAGAAAGCTTCTATATGGTTTCTTTCAGGGCTCTATAAAGCTTCTAGAAAGCTTCTATATGATTTCTTTCAGGGCTGTATAAAGCTTCTAGAAAGCTTCTATATTCTTAAGGGTCCAAGTAGTCCTTACTTGCGGATGTTTTGGTACCTCAAAAGGACCTAAAGCCCTATAGTAGGGAGTACTTGGACCCTCTGGGGGTCTCTAGGGCTCTTTACGGGGTTTCTGTGGGATAAAGTATATATATATATATATATAAATAAATATATATATATATATATATATATATATAGGTTTTAAGCGACGGTAGCCCACTACATACATATCCCGGGCACCCAACAGCTACGATTATGTTTGTTTTCAATCCTGCCGTGTGGGGTTTATGGTGACTGTCTCAGACCTCAATTAGACCCGAAATCACGGAGACAGAAACCCTATTCATCCTGAGCCTAACAGCCCCCCCTACATACATGCGTACATACATGCATACGTACATCTGTCTATTTATGTTTTTAAGTATTAAGTATCCAGTATGGTGTGCCTATATATATATATATGTATATTTATGAACATATATATATATATATGTGTGTAGCTCTCTGTCTCGGTCTTCGTCTCTGTGTCTCTCTCTCTCGCTCCTCGCTCTCTCTCTCTCTCTCTCTCTCTCTCTCGCTCCTCGCTCTCTCTCTCTCTCTCTCTCTCTCTCTCTCTCTCTCTCTCTCTCTCTCTCTCTCTCTCTCTCTCTCTCTCTCTCTCTCTCTCAGTCAGTCCTTGAAGTGAAACCCTGCGAGTTGTGCCTTGTTCCGGGCCTCAGGGTTGGACGAGTCTAAGCCCTGGCTTCGTTCACTTTACGGCGTCGTTTCCTCGTACTTTCGGGCCGAGGTTTGGGATTTTACGGTTTAGTTCTTGAGGGTTTGGGGGGGTTTAGGGTTTAGGGGTTAGGGGTTTAGGGTTTAGGGTTTAGGGGGGTGGGGGGGATTACGAATTAGTGCAGGTTGTCCTACAACCAGGATCCTATCTGCTGCTATCATGAGAGGTTGGTTCGGGGACATGTGTCAGGGTTTGGGGTTCAATGCTCATCGTTGTGGCTGCTATTTCTTTTTGAGCCTGGTGTTTAGCATTTAAGGCACCTCGAAATGAGGCATAAGGGATGCTGGAAAGCACAATGGTAGTGATGATGATCATACTAATTACGATTGAGGCTGATAAGATGATTACGAAGAAATCTGAAAACCACGATAACAAGAATACGAGTTCAAAGATACTGAAAATTATTCCTACTAATATTAACTATATTAGTATTGATTCGTATTATATGGTGTTACCATTGCTTGAAATACGCATAGCTTCCTGTTAGGGTCTGGCCGCAAAACAGGGTTCAAGGCTTCAGCAGTTGAGGCTGTGGGATGTTGCCTATGCGAATCTCAGGGCTCGTGGACGAACGAGACGCTGAGGCGTACGTCTCCTTGGTTTTTTTGGGTTTGGAGTTTAGAGAGGTCAGGGTTTAGGGTGTAGCGGTTTAGCGTTTAGGTATGGGTTTAGGGGTGTGTGTCTGGGTTCTGGGTTAGTTTATCACAGGATATGTTGAGAATTCGAAGCGTCCATGCTGTCGACCCAGCCAAGGTAAGGGGACGCTGCTGTGGACGTTCTTGCTGATCAGCATTCTCATGTATGTCGGCGCTGTGATGGGCATGGAGCCGTCGTTTGTGCACTGCTGGGGGTTGGGTTAAGGGGTTTACGGGTTGGGGCTGGAGCCGTTTATGCACTGCTTTGGAGTTGGGGGCCTTCTTAGGTTGTCTGTAGCGCCTAGAGAATGGCTTCAACCCTGCGCTAAATCCCATACTGCCTTCGAGTTCAGGGCTGCTAGTATTGGAGCCTTTATAGTTACCAATACCATTTTAGGGGTCCCTTAGTATAATTATAGAAAAGCGGGCCCCAAAACCCCATATTTTCATTATTCAGGCCCCCATATCAGATAGAATGCGCTGCTGTGTTGCCTAGGGTTTTCCTCAGACCCAAATAGTATATACGTTGGCCTTAACGAAGTCCCTATATAGGTACTTTAGGGCCAAAGTATGTACTGTTTGGGCACATGGACCCTTAGCGTTTAGGAATTAGGATATCGATTTGTTAGTCCATGGCAAGAAATGGCTGATTGGGCACGGTCAGCCTCTGCTGCTTCCATTAATATGTGCGGTGCATCTGTCAGAAGCAGAAGCACTAAAGCAATACATTGATAATGTCCATTAGTATGACTTACATAGTAGTTCTATAACCGAATATAATATGATGTCTTTGTATAGTTTAATGTAGCAGTATAGGCTGTAGGGCAACGTGCTTTGCCTTGTTGCCTGTGTCTCCCTTTTAAAAGTGCTTCTATGCCAAAAAAATAAAATCCGTTCCAAATGTGAAGGTTGCTCCTGATTTTGGATTCGAGGACCTAAGTTATCTTGCCTCCCTGACCCCCCTGCCTTAAGGGTTCCATAATGATAGTCGACCGCAGGAGTTGATACGACTGGATCCCGATCTCGAGCTGGATCACCCCTTCAACATCGCGGCAGGCTGGAGGGCTAAGTTTAAGGGTTCAAAGGGTTTTAGGCTTTTGGGTTTCAGGGTGTAGGGCTCAGGGTTTAAGGATTTAGGCTTCAGGGTTTGAGGGCTTAGGGTTTAGGCCGGGCAATCGGAAGGCTGCAGGAGAAGTGACCCCAGAGGCCTTATACCGAAACCTCATGTCATTTCCCTAAACCCTAAACCCTAAACCCTGCAAGTTTCCTGAACTTCCCAGTGCTTCCGCATGTTGCAGCCCACAGGTGGGAACCGGGACCGTCCCTGTCCGAACCCTTAGGCTCCCTGTGCTTGTATAGAATACAAAGATACCTAGGGTTTAGGGGTTTTAGGATATAGAGTTTAGGGCATAAGTATATACCATATTGGTACATGGTGCCTTAGGTGAAACACTGGCATGTCGCAAGCCCCCCTTTGCCCAAAAGAATTGCGAAGGCATATCCGCATGAAACGAGCTCTTGATTCGCAGCTCATATAAAGGATCTTTTGTGGCTTTATCCCATGATATTTTAAACTATGTCATATGATAGTATACTGAACTATGTTATGCTATACCATCTCCTATTGTAGTATAGTCTCATACGGTTTGTCACAAAAATTAACTTGCGAAGTATTCGTTTAGGTTGTTTGTTATGGTACGGTGTGATGTTACATTATGGCATGTTACTTTCTCCTGTGTCTTGCGATACTATGTTGTATTGTCATATGTATATGTATATGTATGTATGTATGTATGTATGTATGTATGTATAACTTTGACTGTATGCTAATCTTGTCCGATATAACATGATGTTAGATCGTGCTATGGCAAACCATTGTATGTTCTGTAGAATTTCCGTTCCTGCCAGGCCATGAGTGCTATGTTATACTGTACATTACTTCAATATTTCGCATGAGAAGATAGCATACCATGATACATTATGCCACATAACATAGTAATTCTTTTCATGCAATATGCCTTCCTAATTGGTTGCTATGTAATGTGACGTCGTAAATCTCATCATGCTATATTGTTATCATGCTGTATCATGCTTTTGGAAAGCATGTTTATATGGTAGTATGCTATAGTAGAGTGAAGGGGATTTAGCTTACCTTCTAATTTGATCTCTGGCTCTAGTCTAGTCAATCTATTGCACTATAGTGTGTTGTGTTGTGTTGTGTTGTGTTGTATTGGAATTTACTAGTATATGATGTTGTCGTCTGGTCCATCAAAACGACACAACATGTTCTAGTCTGATCTATTCCAGCAGTATACTATACTATGATGTAGTTCATGGCCGTCTGTAAAGTCATAAAGACATGACAGAACATGTTGCATTATGTGACATGCAAGGCGGTGCGTGGAACCGCACACTATCGTATAGTAGCTCATTACGCTGGCTTCTGGGCTTCTACGTCTAGGGTCGCCGATTTAGGGTTTAGGGTTGCAAAACCCTAATCCCCCCAAGCCCCCCAAACCCTGACGGTCAAAAGCCCGAAGCCCTAGATTCCTAAACACCTACATCCAGAAGCCTGAATGCTTAAAACGCCAGACATACAAAAACCCTGCCAGGAAACCATTTCAGGGACTTTTTCGATGCCGTTCTGACGCTGCTACAAGTTTTCAGTGCACCGGGCAGAACTGGTTTAGGGTTCAGGGCGCTTGTAAGGACATGGGCTTCGAGGGGTCAGGGCGCTGGGGCTTTGGAATGTAGGCGGGCTTTTTGGTTTCGGGCTTTGGGGTTTGGCGTCTTTAGGGATACCCAGGATTTAGGCAACGACGGTTCGCGGACATGGGATTTGGGATTTAGCATTTGCTGTAGTCCGGGGGTTTGTAACTCGAAACCCCCAAACCCCAAACCCTGAACCTCTGAACCCCTAAACCCTGAACCCCAAGCCTCTACAGGCCAAAGCACTGGCCCAAAGGCTCCGGAGCACTCGACGCACTGCTGCCCCAAGATGTGAAAGCTATGTAGTTCCCACTACTTGACCGACAATCCAAGCGCTGTGGTAATCATATTGACCGTGAAGGCAATGAATAGCACGATTGCGAGCTTTGCCTGTAATCGAGATGATGCTGGTGATGACGATGTTATCTTCGAATTGCTCCACACTCCACACAATCTCTATTCGTTCATGGTGGTGATTGACATTCCTCGCCGTCAATCCCCTTAAGCCCTAGACCCTCAACCTCAAATCCCTAAAACTATAAATTCCAATACCAGCAACTTCCTGCAACTTCCCATCCCACCCATGAAGAACTCTGCCGAGGTCTCGACAGTATCGGCATCATTTACAAGCCCCTGATCAAGCATCAGTTTTATCTGCTCCTGGGCTGCAGGGGCATCATATACAAGTGTTACCTAAACCCTAAACCCTAAACCCTAAACCCTAAACGCCCTGCAGTTTGAGGGTTCCTTCTTATGAAACCCCCCCTCACACTTTAGTTCGAAGAAGCAGGGCGTTGGAGTGCAGTACTATGGGTCGGGGCTTTATGCTATTTCGGGCCGTGTTGAGATGAAGGGTTGAGGGTTTTGGCACAGGGTTATCACTTATCCAAAGGATCCAGTGTGTAGGATACTGCATTCACTGTCGTAGTTAAAGTTAAAGGTCTATACCCTGAACTGTATAAATCCGTGCTTGGCTCATTCATAACCACAGAAGCCAATTCCGCATATAGCTTTGTAACCTCTACATACGTACGCCATAACATACCCTGTATACCCGAGTCCCTAAAGCCCCAAACCCAATCGAGTATCGAAGCAACAAAGGCCAAACTGTCTACCAAACTGCGACATGAGCATATCTGTGGATTTCAAGGATTCTGGTTATACAGGTGCGGCGTTGAAGGGGCTTTGGGTGAAGCGTCGTGTGGGTTAGGGCTGTAGGGTATGGTTGTGTTGCCGCCTGGGCTGGTATTCCAGAACGAGCGAGATCCCAGAATTATAGAGGTCCCCACAAGTACAAACCTACACTACTACTGCCCTTAACCTCGGTACCTATACTTTGGACTCTGGACCCTCATGGAGACACCTTAGATTCATGGCAGGTTCTGAATATGTTTGATGCATGCAAACCCTTACTGCCAAACCATGCGGAACCCTCAATTTAGGTGGACTCATCAGTACATGATTTAGGGCTTAGGGTTGGTATATATCAATAGCTTGAAACGTTACGGAGTCTATTGGATTCTAGAGTTGTTTCTAGACTTGTTTCCGAGGCTGCTTTACTTCATGTCTTTCCTGCTCCTGCTGTCCATCGCGCTGATGAATTTGGTGACAGCCTTGGCAGGTTTGGTCAGGGGTCTAGGAGATTAGTTTTTCCTCTACGCGGGCCCTGTGGAGTTTGATGGGGATGTGTTCAACGTGAGTCTGCATAAGAGGCGCAACTTATTCAATCGAGGGGTTATATATGTATATACAGATAATTAGGGTAGGGTTTGGCGGTATACTTAACGAAATCACTAGCGAGCCCTAAGGAACAACGTTTTACGGCCAGCTTTCGCAGCTATTCCGGCCTGTACATTAAGTCCACAAGGTGACGGCGGTGATGGTCAACTCGTCTTTGGACCAGGCCACACAGGACCGGGGCAGAGCTTTACACATTTCACGACGTTGAATGTTGAGTCAAGGGTTCCTACGGTTGATTATATAAATCCTCCATGACCCATAATAAGGAATATACCATAATTCCCATAGTTTAGGGTTTATAAGATAATGCAGCATTTATATCATCAACCGTAGTTTCGTGCTTTATTTCGAGTCTAACGGAGGAGCAAGGTTCAGGGATTGAATTCGGGATTTGGGTTCAGGGCTGCTTACTGTATGGCTTTGGGTGTTCATTCAGGTTTGTGAGCTGGCGAGTAGCCCTCAAGCCTTGAGGGTGAACCTCCAAATCCAAAGTTTTGCGAGCCTCACACATGGGTAGGTGTCAAGGTTATGGTCCCTTTTTGGGTACCTTTGGGTACCCTAAATGACAGGTGTCGTACTATAATCGGGACCCAAGAAGGGACCATAATTTTGACAACCACCCAAATAGCAGCACGAAAGCCCCCATGACCGATAATGCCATAATGGGAGGATCACTCTGGCAGCGAACATCGTCACAACACCCTAAACCTTGAGCCTAAACCCTGTAATATCCCTAGTCCCTACCCATAGGCTCCATAGTAGTTCCTTTTTGGGATTACCTGATAGGATTCTAAATATGAGCCCCAAAAAGGAAATACTATGGAGCCTCTAGGTAATCCCTGAACCCTAAACCTCCAGTCCCTCGACATCCGCAGGACAAGGAAGCCTTAAAGGCTTGGGAGTCTGCACGGAGAGCCAAGCAGCAGCCGAGTTGCACATAGCTTTCATACGTAATGTGGTTTAGGGTTCAGAAGGCGGGTTTTAGTGTTTCGGGTTTTGGGTTCAGAAATCGGGTTAGGGTTTCGGCCTAGGGTTGAGACTCATGACGGCTTTGGGGGTCCTGGGTATAGGGGCTTAGGAGGTGATGTAGGGGTTTTAAGACGCAAATTGTCCAAGGGTTCAGGGCTTTAGGGTTTGGGTGCTTGGGAGGGGTGGCCTTAGAGGTGATTTAGGGGTTGGGGCTTTTGTTGCTGTCCGTTAGCAAAGAACTCTACCAAACTTATTAAATGTGCGATGTCTTATGGGACCCCTTGCAGCAATGCCGACGGACAGCCATAAACAATCTAAGCTGCCAAGACACCTGGGCTGCATATTAACATATCAGGGAAATGTATCGCAGTGGAAGTTGCAGTCACACGACCTGGTAGGATTGGCACCAGATGTGATGACTTGAGCCACTGGCATCATCAGGCCTCAAGTTAGACCATAACCAAGCCCAAACCATAAGCCCTTAACCCCACAGCTCCTCATGATAGAGCCTGTTTCTAAATGATCATAGATCACCTTATCGCCCCATATGATCTTTACCAAATGATCATAGGTCACCTTATCGAACCGTTCTAACCCTGTACGGTTCCTAAGCCCTTATCACTTCTAAGCCCTCATGACCCCTCTTCGGGGTACTCAGAAACTGTTTTTTAGGTTTTGGTTCCTATAATCCCTAAGAAGCAACTCACAATTTACTTGTTGTTGCAGGGGGTTCTAAGTCCAGTATAAAGCGTTATTCGGTTTGAAGTTTCAAGACTCTTAAGAGAACCCAATAGATTTTTCCACCTTCCCAGGATTGACCACCTGAAGGACATGTTCCTCACTCTCGATGAGGCCCAGGGCAGTTAATAAAGGGGGCTCAACCATTTGAAGAGGCTTAGGGTTTAGGGTTGAGGTATGTTATAGTACAGATAGAACTTGGAGCCGTATGATGTTGTCATACTTGGGTAACCTTTTTACATGTTCATGGGTACCCACACCCGAGAAGCGGATAAACCCTATAACGGTCTTAATGCTATCCCACGCATGGACTAATGATTTTGGCAATTGCGCATGCTTCCGTACTGGGGCTCCTAAACCCTCAGCCCTAAACCCCTAAACTCTTAAACCCTGAGCCCTTAAACCCTAAACTCTAAACAAACACCCTTAAACCCTAAACCCCCTTAAACCCTAAACCCTAAACAAAAATCCTTAAACCCTAAACTGTCGGGCTTACAGTTGGGGGATGCAGGCTTTGGAGCTCACAGCCTTCAGGGCTTAGGGGTGAATGATTTCGGGTTCGAAGCTCAGTGTCCGAAACGGCTTAAGGCTCTAGGTCCACGATTGCGGGTTGAGGCCCGGAACCTCAGGCTGCAAACTCCCGAATCCATGTTTAGATGTAGACCCTACGCTGCCCTAAACCCTAATCCTAGCACCCTAAAACCTGTTCCCCACAAAGCCCGCATCTTAGCAAGATACAAGGTCTTGAGGGTTGGCAACACGGATCCCTCAAGGCGAGGCAGTGAACCTCATTTGTCACATCCTCCCTGGACCCCCAAGTACCGAAGTCATGGCCAAAACCCTATTCTAACCAGCAGGGGTCCCAATAAATACCAATACTATACTTGGGTTTCCTTATTATAGTATAATGGGCCCCCTAATATATCCGCAACATGCAGGAATCAAGCGTGTAAAGGCCAGGTCGAAAGTTGCAGGTATATGCACTCTTGAATCTCAGGGCGCAGTGTTTTTGTTGCAGGGTCGGGTGTGTGTAGTTCCTGACTTGCTAACTCCGTAAATGAAGCCGCCTCAGGCCACTTGAAGCAGAGATCGTGTTCTTGCTGCTGCATGTTTTTTGCTTGCTCCCTTTGCTGTCGCGGTCGGTGCCGACCCAACTCTAGACCGAAGGCCCAACAACCTAAGCCGAATGCCTTAAGTTCAGTAATCCGAAACCATGCATTCCTAGAAGCCCAAATTGGACCCTATAAAAACCTTATCTTTCAAGGCTCCATACCATGACTTCCTTGTATGAATCCTGAAAAAGGTAGATTAGTTGGGGTTAAAGTAAAGCTTTAACTCAAACAAAACCATAATACAGGGGCCTTAGTAGGGCCCAAGAATTTGAATAGGGTTTTGGGGCCCATTGTACTGTAATACAAACTAAGGAACCCCCCCAAAAATAGTATTAATTAGTAATTATTGAGGGACCTATGGTAGGCTTGGCCTGGGCCTTAAAGTTAAACCTTCATTTCATAATCAGGCCGCCCCAAAATCCTCAAGTTCCTTTCCCCTTCAAGAGCGCGAAGTCTGCTAGGATGGGTCTGGCGAGCTGACTCTCGACGCCGGGGTCTCATGGGGTCTTTACAGGTGCTGCTTTATAGGGAGTTCCGGCACGGTGGGTGTAGGGCCTAGGGGTTTAGGGATTAGGTTTTGGGTGTAGTTTTGCGGCTTGGGGTTTAGGACTTAGGGTTCCTTTACGGGGTATTGTTGGGATTGTACATCAGTTTCATGAGGTTTTAAGGGTTTTCGTGCGGGCTTGCCGGGGGTCTCGTAAGGCGTCGTAAGGTTCGAGTGTAGTAGAGCTTCTTCAAAATCAGCTTGGGGCCATGCTGATCGGGTTCTACTAATTGGGGTTAATTGGGCAGCTAGGCTATACCCCCAAAGCTAGGTATCATTATGGCCCCAAACCTATAAAATGTTAATTATTATACATACTTTTGAGGTCCGGGTAAGGGCTTACAGAGGTTTGTTCGAGTGAGTTCTTGAAGAGTTGGTGAAGTTGGTCGCAGGCCAGACTTTATGTTGTTCTTGTGACTCCTGCTACAATTCTTTTCTCGCTTAACACGATTATGTTAGCTATTGCTCCTCTCATTGCTATGAAGAGCTCGCACCGGTGGTGGAGGGTTTAGAGTTTACCCCAAGGGTCCAAGCACCCAATAATCATATACTCTCCGAAATCTTTCCCTACATAACTACTATCCTAAAACCGAGTACTCAATTATTGGGTCCTTCGGACCCTTGGGGTAAAGCCCTAAACCCTACCTATAGTCTCCATTGTAGTTCCTTTTTTTTGGTTTAACCAATATTTTATTAAGGATCCCAAAAGGTAACCCCAAAAAGGAACTACAATGGAGACTATAGGTGGTGCAGGAGAAGCTGTAGGCCCGGACCCTTGGGGTAAAGCCCTAAACCCTACCTATAGTCTCCATTGTAGTTCTTTTTTTTGGTTTAACCAATATTATATTAAGGATCCCGAAAGGTAACCCCAAAAAGGAACTACAATGGAGACTATAGGTAGGGTTGCGAAGTGAGGTCATCATCAGGGTTCCAACTGCTTTTTGCCCTTCCAGCGTGCTTGACAGTGGGATGAACCGAACCGCCACCACCAGCTCCTGCTTAGAGGATCATGGGGCACAGCAAGTAAAGTTATAAGTACCTTAATTGGGGCTGTAAGCAGTTATAGTTGTAATAAGTAGTACGACAGTTACTAAGTCCCATGATCCTCTAAGTGGTGAGATGACTGCACCCTATTCGGAGGAAGTGCCGGCAGAAAAATGATGGGAGGGAGCGACAGCAGGAGTTCCGGCCTTCTGCTATTCGGATTTTCAATCCTGCCTATAGTCTCCATTGTAGTTCCTTTTTTTTGGTTTAACCAATATTATATTAAGGATCCCAAAAGGTAACCCCAAAAAGGAACTACAATGGAGACTATAGGTGGTGCAGGAGAAGCTGTAGGCCCGGAACCGCGACACCGGAAAGGTCGAGGAGGTGGACCATCCTTGGGTCGACATGACATTTACTTGAAGGATCATGGGACTTAGTAAGTAAGGTTATAAGTACCTTAATTGGGCTCCTAGACTAGTTCTAAGTATAGTTGCCTTACTTATAACCCTAGTTACTAAGTCCCATGATCCTCTACATACCCCCCAAGACCCATGTAGAACCCTTCATAGTAACCCTTATAGATCCCTTTTTAGGAACCCTTTAAAGGGAACCCTAGTTACTAAGTCCCATGATCCTTCAAGTACCCGAGCGAACCATGGATGTGCGTGACAGCAGAGCTGCTCCAAACCTCGCAGCCTCCCAGGAAAGCATGATGTTCCCAGAGAGCCCAATACCCCTTAATTAAGGAATATTGCTTAAATCATAATATGAACCCCCTTATAGTTTGAGGTATATTCCTTAATCGAGGGGTATTGGGCTCTCTGGGGTTCCAGCTTGTGCTTGAAAGAGTCTGGGTCTGGGAGTATTTGCTTTGTTTGCGCATGATGCGCTGCATATGCTAGTAACAGGTAACAGGTGCTATAGTATATGCCACCAGACATGTGATCCCCGCAATTTGATAGACTGTGCGGCTGGGATATTGAGGTGTTACTTGGAGGATCATGGGACTTGGTAAGTAAGGTTATAAGTACCTTAATCACTTATAACCCTAGTTACTAAGTCCTATGATCCTTTAAGTAGAGACAATCCCCGAAAGATGGAGACCGGAAGCTGCGTGCGCATCGGTGTCAAACGTTTGCCGGGATTCGGGGCTCAATTTCTGTTGCCGACCGAAGTATTCAGCAACGACAGCTCGTGCATCAATGGCAGAAGCAGACGCTCTGCATTTCTCGAAGTTGGCACACCCACCATGTTTTCAATCTCCTCTGCCTTGAACGTCAAACCGAATGCGTCAGGAGATCAACAACGCCCCAGAAGAGACGCAGCAGCAGCTGAAGGAGTCATCTGCCGAGGGAAGCGCGGCATGTTGTCTTTGTGTAAGCAGGCTGTAGGCCTCATACTCATACGCTTGTGTCGGGATTCTACCTCAACCCTGAACCCACCCACCATTGGTGGAGGTGCGCATATCTCCAAATAAGGATGCCGTGTGGGAACCAGGATCCTTCCTCACAGAGCACGGCACTGTAAGAACCTATAAAAAGCCTACATCTAGGGTTGAAATTCAATGTCCCAACCCCGAAGTACCTTCCCCAAGCCCTATAATTAGACCCCAAGCCACACACCCCATATTCCACATCCTTCCTACCTGCCGGCGTTGTCAGGAGATTGTGGCGACAGACGATCTGAGGTACCCTGTCCCGGGTTTGGGGTTTAGGGATTTAGTGTTTGGAGTGTAGGGAGGCCATGTTCCCAACTAGCAATTGTTGGCCCGAAGGTACCTATATAGGAGTTTCCAAAGATTAGGGGTACCTTATTTGGGGATCCTTATAGCAAGGATCCTACCATTCAGGGTACTGTATTAGGGTCCCCTCTTTTCAGAAACTCCCATAAACGAACTAGTATCTGATCAGGGTAAGTTGGGGTACGCGACTGGCGGGCTTTGTCTGTTCGGGCGTTTGCGGCGTGAGGTTCAGGCGTTGAGGGCTCCAGAGTTCTATGGATTAGCATTTTAGGGGGGGTTTAGGGTTTAGGGGTTTAGGGTTTAGGGTATCATAGAGGCGTCAGGGTTTAGGGATTTCAGGTTTAATTCAAGTCGATGTAATCTTCTCTCTCTACTGACTTCATTCACATGTAAGCTCAAGTTCTACACTGTATTCAACACTCTGAAAGCCTGCCACGCTTGAGCCCACAGACATATACCCCCAAAACCCTACCCTGGGCCCTCAACTCAACTTGCAAGCCGGTTTAGGGTTTAGGGTTGGCTAACAACCAACCATCAGAAATGGGAGTTTCCGAAAATAGGGGACCCGAATAGAGAACCCTACATGTTAGGATCCTCAGTATAAGGACCCCAAGGTAAGGTACCCATAACTTTCGAAACTCCCAAATGTTTAAATGATAATTCGACCTTTTGTTTCCACGGGTCCAACGGGAGTGAGCTTTAGGATTCACTGGTGCAGCTTGAGGTGCGGGTGTCGTGCTTCAGGGGCCTCCATTCAAGGAGTTTGGGGGTTAACATAGGGTGCTGTCGGGGTTTAGGATCTAGTAACTAGTTGCTTGTCTTTGTGGCTGAGATTGGCTCATATCTAATTAATTACAGGCTTTATATAGGTTCCTATTCCTCGGACGTTTCAGCGACCTCTACTACGCCGCGACCATGAAACTGTACTGTAGTCCTGTCTAGTCTATGATGGTTTTCTGGCCTTTTCCGACCCCAAATGCCTCCGAATTAATTGATATTTGGGGCCCTGCGAACCAAGAGAAAGGAATCGGCTTGTCAGTTTTGGACTAGATCGAGAAGTCGGGCAAAGCGATTTCTTATGAGCGACAGGCAGCTGTTGTAAGCTCACTTGAGGAGTCCGTCTATTCGTTGAGTCGCCTCTAAACTCCACCGAAAACCACAGGCACCTATAGTCTCCATTGTAGTTCCTGTTTGTGGTTGCCATATAGTAGCCATAATTGTATAATTGGTTAAACCATAAAATGGAACAAACCCTAAACCCTAAACCCTAAACTACAATGGAAAGTCACCCCAACTTTAAAAAGAAAAAACTACAATGGAGAGTATAGGCAGAGTTGGAAAAGCAGCCTCAACCAGAATTCCTGGGCCTGAGATCCGAAACTGTACTCAACAACCTCTGCCGAAGGTTCGCATCCATGAATTAAGGAATATGGGAGTTTCCGAAAACTAGGGGTACCGTATTCTGGGGTCCTTATGATAGGGATCCTAATATTTAGGGTACTAAATTAGGGTCCCCTATTTTCGGAAACTCCCATATAGCTCAAATCATAATATGAACCCCCTTATAGTTTAAGGTAAGCTCCTTAATTAAGGGGTATTGGGCTCTCTGGGATCACCCTGTAAGGTTCTCCCACTCCAAAGGTGATGCCATCTTGCACAGCAAGACGAAATCAGACAACACTCTATGACGCCCCGACAGCCTGTGAAACCAAGCCCTAAACCCTACGCATTATTACCCCTACACTCCTATAGCCCTAAACCATGATCCAAGCCCTAAACCCTACGAGTTATTAGCCCAAACAGAAGTCAAGCAAACGAGATATGTCCTTCAAAAGGGAGCTCTTCGACATGTTGGACTACGATGGTGGTGGTACGATCGGCCTCGTGGCTGCGTGCGGCATGCGTCGTTTTTGATTGTATTACTATTGTTACTGTCATTACCTATTATTATCTTTGATACTATATTATTACTAATTACTATAATTATTCATACTCTTGTTTTTGATAATTTTATTAGCATTGTTATTACTTTGATTGTTATTGTTATTGTTTGTCGTTGAGGGTTGTACATCGTCTGGTCTGCTTTGTTCTTTAAATACTGGCAAGTAAAGCAGGTCCTTAATCCCCGTTTCCTTGATTCTTGATCATTGCCACGTTCTTCTGACGGTTCTCAGCGGTATCGAACTCATCCTGTCGTTGGCGTGTGGGGGAAGCATTGAAGGAGCTGCTTCCCGAAATCAAGGGGCTGTGTAGGGGTTCGGGCTTCGGAGTTTGTAGTGTGCTCTTTTTTCGTCACAGAAATCCATGTACCTATATAGGTACTTTAGGGCCAACGCATATACATGGTAATAACTTCGGGTACTGCATGATTCTCCAAAGTTTCAAGCCCCAGCTCCGGTGTGTCAAACACAGAAGTCTTAGCAACCCTCGCAGGTCCTTTCATAAAGCTCTTACCAAGAGGCTCCATAGTAGTTCCCTTTTGGGGTTCATATTTAGAACCCTATAGGGTACTCCCAAAAAGGAACTACTATGGAGCCTATGGGTAACAACTGGGTACTGGAGTACCATACCTTAATGCCTTTTTGCGGGGCACGGTTCCCTAAAGGTACCGTTACGAAATAAAAGTTGTATACTTGTGTCTCCCTGGTTACTTGGGAGTTTCCGAAAATAATATAGTTCATTAAATAGCAGGATGCTTATTACAAGGACCCCAGAATAAGGTACCCGTAATGTCGGAAACTCCCGCTTCAAAGCCCAGGCAAGGGTTCTACTAAGGGATCTGTGAGGCTGTCATGAGTCACACGGGCTTCTTTTGAAGGCTGCCCATGAGAACGAAAGGTGTTAGGGTTTGGGGGTCTAGTGTTTGGGATTTAGGTACGGCCCCCTTTCTTGATATTGTTATGAATACTGTCGAAGTACTGCCGAAATAGCCTCACCTTGCAGGGTTAATCGTACCTTCTCAGTTATATGTTTCAGCATTGAGGGCTCCCTGACAGAATGGTGCGGGCGGTCGCGCGGCGGTTGAGGAGCTTACAAAGTAAAGACGATCCTGCCTAGGCTCGAGAAAAAATAAACTACAAAGCTGCATGGATGAAATTTTAAACGTAACCTGATAAGCCCAACACCCCCAGCACGCAAGCAAAACTAGACCCTGGACCGGGCACCTTAAACCCTAAACTGTGACTGTTGAATTAAAAAGCCCATACCCGATAACCTAAGCCAAACCCCGTACTCCGTCCTCCAAAACGCTACCTCTTGAAGCCCAGGCGTCGAAGAGTTCTGCGATGGAATCCTCAAGGTGTCGTCGCCATAGAACCTAGGTTTTCAGTGAAGGGTTTTAGGCTTCGGGGTTAGGGTTTGGAATAGTGACGATAATATCGGGGTTCAAAGGGGTTTAGGATTTGCGCGGGTCAGGGATCAAGGTTTCGAGATTCAAATGCGAAGGCTGGACTAGTAGGACCTAGCGTGGCACGACCTGCCGATCCTTCAAAGCTCTGGGATATGTGCCACTGGATGGCAGCGTTCGTCCATCTAATATATAGTACTTCTCCAAGTTGTTACGAGAAGCAGGGGAAGATGTGCGGCACGAGCTGAGAAACGCTGTGGGGCAAAGCCTCACACAGACGTGGTACTTGCCAGGTGTCATGCACATGATGTCAGCAACGTGTCAGTCTCTACACAGTCAGAGTTATGTAATGCACCTCACCAAACCCTATAGGCCCTAGGCTAAACCCCCGCGAAAGAGAATCCTCGAAGCTCAAACCCTCAAGCCTGGAATACCCTAACACCCAGTTTAATAGTACGTAACCCTGTCCGTCAGTATCACAGCTGCAGCAAAAAATCTCGAAGTCCAGAACATCCATCGTAGAAAGCCCTTCCGGCATCGCTGTCCCACGAGGCTCCATGAACCTGTTTTATACATACACATATACATACATATATATATATATACACATACATATATATATATATATATATATACTGGGCTTGGGGGTTAGGGTATATGGTCTATACTATGCCTTAGAGCACCTAACTATGTAGGAACCCCGTCCACGGCCTAAGTATATAATAGATATATACCTGGAGCCTCCCGGGTCATAACCCTAAAGCCTCAGTCATAGTCATGGCATACCCTTCCAGGACAATTATCAAGGCGCAAAGCAACGCCTCTATTCCTATCGCAGCCCTACGATAGCCCCTTTCTGAGACCACTACAATGCATTACAGAACCCTTTCAGCGAAATCCTACTAAAGATGCATAAACACCCTACCAAATTGACATTGAGGTACGTTTTCAACCGTGAGACCTTCTGGGATTAAGTTCCGGTTCGGGATATGTTGAAACCTACTCTTTCACTAACAAGTTCATCTAAGGCACACATTTTCCCAAAGACCGTCACGATGTTGTCAACATGTTTTATAGTCGTACCAGCACTGGTATTTTTTCTCTTGCTATCGTGTATCATCTTGAATACATGTAATATCAAGGCGGCTTGGCCCCACCCTTTTGCTCCCTCTGAAAGAGGCCACCCAAAACGCTCCCCGTTGTGCCTCCTCTGAAAGAGGCCACCACTCTAAACCCTAAACCCCTTCTAGAACCTTTATAGATCCGTTTTAAGGAACCCTTATGGATCCCTGTAAAGGAACCCTTATGGATCTTTTATAAAGGTACCCCTATTTTGCCAAAAACCCTTCTCTTTGCTTCGTCTGAAAGAGGCCACCACTCTAACCCCCAA